AATGTTTTCATGGTAATGCTGTTTTGGTATGGCTGTGAATGCTGGAACACCACAATCTCTGGCAAATCAAAATTGCAGGTTAACTAAAAGGCAATGGAGATGTGCACTGTGGGCACAAGTAGGCCAAAGCACATTTCCAACAATGACCTACCTGCATGTAAGAAGTGGTGTAAGAATATCATCCAGGAAATACCTGATCAAAAAAGGAGGTGGGTCAGTTATGCAGCAAGAGAGATAAAAGATGAACACTCTGGGCACTACTGATATATATATATAAAATTTGATGAACTGCACCAATAACTAAAATTTTATGACCGGGTTCTTTACCTTTTTTTGAGTTAGAGACCCCTCTGACAGTATGGTGAGGCCTATAGACCCCATCTTAGAATAATGTTTTCAAATACAAAAAATAGAGTACATAGAATTATAAAGGAAACCAAATAATTATTACAGAGCATCAGAAGTTATGGAAGGGTTGTAGCTACAGTGATAAAGGGAATACACACTGATGAGTTTCCTTTAAAATAATTAAGTAATTTCTAAAGTGCGATTCTGTTGCCAATTGCCTGTATCTTATTAACTTAAGAGCTTTAGGGAAACAAATTTACACTAAAAGAGGCAAATAAAGCAAATATTTATTAAACTGCTCAACTCTTGCCCACAAGAAGTTTACAGTCTATAAGGAAAACACATATAGAAATAAAAGGCAAATTTAAAAGTACAAATTAGTACAATTATGAGGTACAAACAAAATGTTTCCAAAGATTTGAAAAGGTCTAGAACACCTTGACATCTTTAATTTTATCACATTCTAGCTTTCAGCCTATTTATTTTTACACTGTTACCCCACCTCTTCCCTAATGCTATTATAAACACCAGGAGAGCTGAGCCCCTGTTGTTTTTCATTTGGATTCTCAGCATCTAGTATTCTGATTGGACCCAAGTAAGAAATTACTCAATGTTTTTTAATTAAGTTTCCCTCTCCCATATCTTTTCCACAAGGGGGAAAGAAAATACTTCCAACTGAAATTAAGACATGAAAAATCATCTTCACCCTCTCCCATATTCTTTTTCTTTTTTAACTGATGGACTTATTTCCTTCTCTCCCTAGGGAAGGGAACGAAGTCTGTTTCAGTAAGGCAACAAATTTCTCTACTATGCTACCTCTTACACTCTCCCTCCCCCAAATCTTCCAGAATCTCTGGGCCTAGTTTGATAACAGATGGAAAGACAGGTAGATAGACAGAAATATAGATAGTGATAGGAAGACAGAGAGACCGAGAAAGAGATGGAGCTACAAAGCTAGAGACAGAATATGACGTTATATAGAGACAGAAATAGATATAGAGGCAGAGATTTGAGAGAGATATAGAGATAACAGAAATATAGCCATAAAGAGTTACAGTGACAGAGATACAAACAGATGTATAGACAGGTAGATGGAGTGATAGAGCATTTATTAAACATTTACTTTGTGTCAGGCACTGTGAATGGGGCTTCTCTCTGTAGCAAACGAAAAGTGAAGGAGCTGGGCTGCTACATCTCTGAAATCCTTTCTAGTCCTAAAGTTGACTGATCCTCTGGAGTAGATGGGGGAGGGAGGCTCTCAGAAATTAAAGACCCTGCGCCTCACCTGCAGCTGAGAGAAGGACCCCACCGAGGTGGGGGGTGGGGAGGAGCGGGAGGCTGGGTCTCTCAGAAGTCGTCGTCGTCGCAGATGTCCAGGTACACATCGAAGGCCTCCCGGTTGCAGTTCCCGTCGGGGGTGAAGACGTACTTGTGGAAGGTGCCGTCCACGCAGATGGCAATGACGGAGTTGACATTCTTGGAGGTGTTCCGGCCAAAAGCACAGATGCAGGCGGACTCGGCGGGGACGGTGAAGCTGGCCAGGCTCCACTGCGAGTCCACGTACTGGCCGATCATGGGGCCCACCTTGCCCACTCGCGCCAGGGCGGACCTTCGGTTGAGCCTGGTGTCCTTAAGGGCGAAGACGTGGACGGTGCCCTTGTCGCTGGAGGCGCAGAGGAAGGACGAGTCGTGGCTGAAGTTGATGCAGTAGAGGGTGGCCGGGTCGGTGCCGCGCCTCAGCTCCACCAGCTTCTCCTTGGTCTGCGTGTCGAAGAGGCGGATGAGGGTGCCCTTCTGCGAGGCGGACGCCACCACGGTGCCGGGCTGGTTGAGCGACACGCAGGCCACCTCGCTCTGGTGCGCGTTGATGGTGAAAGGCGCCGACGACGTGCCGGGCTTGGTGCTCGCCAGGTCCACGAGCTGCAGGCTGCCGCACTTGTGGCCCGGGAACACCAGCAGCTGCTTCTCCAGGCTGGGGCACAGGTCGCAGAGGCCCTTGGGGTTGTCGCGGGTGTCGAACTCGAACAGCTTCTGCGGGTCGTTGGGGAAGGAGTAGACGTAGATGCGGTTCCGCAGGACGATGACGATCTTGTCGTGCCGCATGCGCACGGCCAAGGCGGGCTTGGTGAAGGTGAACTCGAGCACCAGCTTGTCCTGGCTGTCTCGGCCCTCGCGGGCGTCGTCCCACACCAGCACCGAGATCTCCGAGAACTTGGGGCTGCCGCCGCCGCCCACGATGGCCAGCAGGTTGGAACGGTGCAGCATCTCCACCAGCGCCACGCTGCCCACCTGCTCGTGATCCAGGTGGCCCTTCTCCATCAGCGGCTCTACGTTGTAGATCCGGACGCCCGTCTCCATGGCACAACAGAAACAACTCTGGTCTTGGTTGAAGCGCAGGCTGGTCATTCCGCGGAGCTGCGGCTTCTGAGCCATGGCGAAGTTCCGGCAAGGGGACAGCGGGTGGGGGGAGGAGTTACAAGAGCCGAGTCCCGCCGAGGCGAGACGAGACTGCCCGACTGGAGCCGAAGCTCGAGACTAGGGGGAGAGAGAGCGAAGCTCCGCCCCTCAAGCTGTTCTTTCTCACCGCTACCTCCGGATGCCGGCTCCCACACGCTTTAAGTTCCGCCCTCTTGGGGGTTCCGTCCGGCCGACGCTACCGCCCGAGACTTGGAGATTGGGAGACCTGAATGGGAATTCTGCCTTTGACGTTTAATACCTGCAATTCACCCAATCTCTTCACCTCAGTTTTTTTACCTGCAAAATAGGGATAAAAAGAATAAGAAGTAATAAGAAATAGGGATAAAAATGAGGTATCAGTCCTACATTCCTAACCAGGTTATTGTGGGGATCAAAGGAGATAATGTATTAAAAGAGTTTTCCAAAACTTAAAGCAATAAAATAGGTAGCTGGGGAGGTTAAGGCAGCTAGGTGGAAGCGATGAAGAGACGGCTGAACCTGGAGGCAGGAAGACCTGAATTTAAATTCGGCCTCAGACACTTACCAACTGTGTGGTCCTCTGCCTCAGTATCCTCCTCTGCAAAACGGAAATAATAATAGCACCCTAAAATGAGACAATATTTGTGCAGCGCTTCGCAAGCCTTAAAACACTATGTGAATGCTAGCTTTTTTTAGTAAGCTGGCAGCACGTTCTGCTTAAATTATTTAGTATAAATTATTCTAATTCTATTTATTATAAATTATTCTAACATTTATATAGCTGCCAGGCACTGTGGTAAGCACTATAGAATTATTACCTCGTTTGCTTCTCAACAACCCTGGGAGGTTGGTGCTATTATTTTCCCCATCTTACAGATGAGGAAACTAAGGCAGACAAGTTAAGCAATTAGCCCAGGGTCACAATGCTAATAAGTGTATGAGGTTGGATTTGAGTTTGGGTTTATCCTGACTCCTGGTTCAGTGATCTAGCCACTATTCTACCTAGCAGCAGACCAAAAAAAAAAAAAAAAAAAAAAAAAAACAGACAAAAAAGAGGCAGCATGATTTGGGAATTGATTATATATGTGAAGTGAGAGAGAGTGAGGAACTGAGGATGATTGAGGTTGTGAATCTGGAAGAATGATGATGCCTTTGACAAAAGTAGTTTGGAAAAGTGAGTTCCAATTAACTTATACTCTAACTTCTAACATACACTAGGAATTCCCAATATTCCACTAATTGCCTAAAGGCAACTCACACCGAGTAATCTCATCAATTTGAACCAGAATTTCCCAGACACCTCCCGTGTAAGTAAATGTTTCTCCTAATAGAATTTAAGGTCCTTTTGTCTTTATATCACTTGGCTGGAAACGCCTAGTTGGCCACTCAGAACTTACAAACAAATAAATAATTGATACTTTTCAGTTACTTCAAATCCCCAATAGTAGTCTTTGCCTTTTCCTTCTGATCTGCTTTTCCCTTTTTGATCTTAGTGCTGTTTTTTTTCCCGCCTCTCATTATTTCATAGATCTCTTTCAAGATTTCTTTTGTATTCCTAATAATACCTGTCAGTGTAATTGCATCTGTATACCTTTCCCTAATCTATCACAATTTAATTAACCATTCCCCTATTTTCGGATGTTTATTTTGCTTCCGGTTTGAGGTTTGGGGTTTTGTTTTTGCAATTCCATATTATTCCGCTGTGAGCCGTGAAAATTTTCGGACCAGTGCGTTTTGGGGGGTTTTGGTTTCCTTTTTGGTTGTTTGCTTGTTTTTCTTAATACTTTCAGGATGCACCTTAAGGATTCCTTTAAAAACAGCTTTGCTAAGCAACAAACAATCTTACTCAACAGCACTGGTTTGTTTTCCACAATACTTTCAGGACACACCTTACATAAACAAATTTGTTAAATAACAAAGTCACACTTATTTGAGCCCTGCCCCCTGCCTCATAGAGCCCCACCTCTTCCCCTAAACCCCCTCCCTAGCCCCTCCCTTCCTGGAGCCCTTCACACCTCCTTCCTAACGCTTTGCCCCTCCTTCTTAGAGCCCCATCTCTTTAATCTAGGTCCCCACCCCTCTACATTAAAGCCCCACCCACTACGCTAAGGCCCCGCCCCTCCTCCCTAGGGAGCTCTATCCCTTTCAGCTAGGTCCCGTCCTTCCCGCCCCAAGCCCCGCCCCTCTTCCCGCGCAGAGCACTCTGGGAACGGCTTCCTTGGATTCCTCCGTTGCCAACCACACAAAGCTGAGCCGTGGTCTTCGCTTCCCCTCTCCCGTGTCCCCGCCGTTTCCCGGGAAAGCTGCTGCTTCCTCCCGCTTTTCCCGCGGAGACTTCCGCCACTTTCCCCGGGAGGTAGGAGGGGTACATCTGGGGACCCGGGAGGGGCGGCACCCATCGGTGCTAGGGATGCTCCAGGCCTCGGGAGAGCGGCGGGCGTCCGTGGGGCTTCCATCCCCTCGCTGAGGCTGAAGCGAGGCTGGGTAGGGCAGGATCCTCTCCCCCCCAGGCACCCCTCGCCTTGTCCTAGGCGCAATCACAGCGTGTATTCTGATAGCGCGTTAAAGCTTGCAAAACACTTTATTTGTGCTCCCCCATTTGAGCCCCACAATCTTGTGATGCAGATACTCTTTATTATCCCCAGTTTACAGATGGGAAGACTGAGGCTCAGGGAGAGGTGAAGTGATGGGTCCACGGTCCCACGGCCAAGTGCCCGAGATAGGATTTAAAACGAGGTCTTACTGATTCAGGTCCAGCGCTGTATCCCTTGGGCCACCTAGCTTCTCCTCAGCCCGAGGTAGATGGGTCTGACTCTATTCGACTAGTCCCCCACTTAAGGGTCTGGGTTCCAGGCCTTTCGTACAGGATTTTTTACCTCCCTCCATCACCACCACCACCACCACCACACACACACACACACACACACCCTACCTCTTGTGATTTGTGGGTCCCTCAGACTCGAAGTGTATATCACCAATGCCAAAATTTAAATAGCTGGTCTCCTGTACCCAGAAAAACCCGCTTCTGCTTCGTGGCCTATTAAAAGCTAAGATCAAGGGTAGTTCTGCCAGAATTAGCCAAGCTTGATTAGAGTTCCACCTTATCCAGAAAATTGGAAACTAGATAAAACACATTTCATCCATTCAGGTTTTGCAGGAAAATTTGCACAGTTCATAATTGTATTTATCTTCAGTTTGGATGTAAGTTTTATTGAGTCCTGAAAATCATCTACCTGATGAAAGGGATAGACAAGGATGAAATATTAAATAATATCTGTATTAAGTACACAGTCATCTTAGAGTGTGTGTGTGTGTGTGTATAGAGCTCTAAATCATAGGTAAACCATGTACAGTGGGAATTATTCCTCTTACACAAGAACATAAAAATCAGGATGCATAAAACAAAAAAAACTTTTAAAAAATAAAAGAAAAATGGTGGTGGAGTAGGCAAAATATTTGCATTAAATATCACTGACACAAATAACATGCAATCAATATGAAACTAAGACAAGTTGTCAAGACATATGGGGAAAAATACTTTTCATAAGAATTACAAATTATAAATGACCTCATGAAAACAGGTTGCAAATCACATAGTAAAAGACATGCACATTAAAACATCTCTAAGATTTCACCCAGCACTTAACAAAATGTCAAAGACAAAAGCTGAGAACTAGTCAAATTTGAAAGAGCTGTAAGAAGACAGGTACATTAATAACTGTCAGTGGAATTGTGAACTGACTGGTCCACCATTCTGGACTTGAGTTTCAAAGTATTCAAGAAAAGGAATTAAACTATGTCCTTTGACTCAGTGATGTGGCTACTGGTCATATAGCCCAAGGAAGTCAAAGATGAAACAGACAGCTAGTATATTTCAAAATGTTCAAAACAATATTCTTTGTGGTAGGAAAGAACCGAAAGCAAAGTGGGTGTCCGTTATCATTTGGTGAATGACTGAATAAATTATGGCATATTATCATAATTGAATATTATTATGCATTAAGAAATGAAGGCAGAAATTCAAAGAAACAAGAGAAGATTTGTATGAACTCATGCAGAATGAAATCAGCAGAATCAAGAACTACAGACACACTTACTTGAAGAGTATAAATGAAAACATTGCAGAAGGGAGCTGAACTCTATAAAGATGAAGGTCCTAGATAACAGATAATGAAAATAACCTTTTTTTTAATGAATAAATTTATTTATTTTTAGTTTTCAACATTCACTTCTGTAAGATTTTGAGTTCCAAATTTTCTCCCCATCTCTCTCCTCCCTCCACCCCCTAAGACAGCATGAAAATTGATAATAGGCTCAACATATATATTCCTATTAAACCTGTTTTCACATCAGTCACATTGTAAAGAAGAATTAGAACCAATGGGAGAAACCACAAGAAAGAAGAAACAAAAAGAGAGAGAGAGAGAGAGAGAGAAAGCAAATAATATGCTGCGATCTGCATTCAGACTGCACAGTTCTTTTTCAGGATGTGGACAGCATTTTCCATCATGAGACTTTTGGAGAAGTCTTAGATCATTGCATTGCTGAGAAGAGCTAAGTCTTATCAAAGTTAGTCATTGCATAATGTGGCTGTTACTTTGTACAATGTTTTCCTGGTTCTGCTCACTTCACTCAGCATCAGTCCATACAAGTCTTTCCAGGTTTTTGTGAAGTCTGCCTATTCATCATTTCTTATAGCACAATAGTATTCCATTGCATTCATATACCACAACTTGTTCAGCCATTCCTCAATTCATGGGCATCCCCTCAATTTCCAATTCTTTGCCACCACAAAAAGAGCTGCTATAAATATTTTTATACATATGGGTCCTTTCCCCATTTTTATGATCTCTTTAGGATACAGACCTAGAAGAGGTATTGCTGAGTCAAAGGGCATGCACAGTTTTATAGCCCTTTGTGCGTAGTTCCAAATTGCTTTCCAGAATGGTTGGATCAGTTCACAACTCCACCAATAGTGCATTAATGTTCCAGTTTTCCTGAAACATAACTTCTTCACATCAGAAAAGTAGAGTACTACTAAGACAAAATAGTGTATATGTTGTCAGATATGGTCACTCTAGTGTTTTTTTTTCTTTTTTTTTCTTCCTGTTTCTGATTTGGTTTTTTGTTGTTGTTGTTGTTGTTGTTGTTAGTTTGTCATAAAGAAGAGTTCATTTGGGAAGGAGGTTGGGAAATGATTGATGTAAATCCAAAAGGTATCAATAAAACAATTTTAAAAAATCACTCATCTAGATGCATGGATGGGTTGTGACCTGCACAGATGGAGTTAATATCCATACTGATGGATGTGAAATAATCTCTTCCAGCTCTGAAATCCCATGATTTTTTTTTTCTTTTCTTGGTATTTATTTTGTATTTTCTCACTAAAGTATTTCCAAATCTAGTCCTGGGTTGGTGGCTAAAATGGTTACAACTCAACTGAAAGGTTTTCTAAGGCTGTTCAAGCTCTCAAGTTCTATGAGCCAGTGTGTTTAGAAGTAGGCAAAAACTCTAATAGAATAGTTAGGAAGTTTGTTTCTAACAAATATCTGCCTCCTAGGAGTTTACTTTCACAGTCACAGAATATAAGGAGATATAAAAACCCAAAAATATACAGTCCTTAAGTGTTTTTTAAAAGTTCTATTGATACTCTGTTTGCATGTAGGATCAGAGCTCTGGATCTAAAATGGACCATAGAAGCTATTTAGTCCAACTCTCTCATTTTACAGATGAGGAAACAAGCCAAGAGAGGTTAATTAACTTAGACAAGCTCACTGTGGTAGTAAGAATCAAAAGCAGGTTTTGAACCTAGTTTCTTTGACTCCAGAGCTAGTGGACTTTGATCTGTACCTCCCAATCGTGATAGCAGTTATTTCCACCTGCCTCCCTAGACCATGCCTCTCCATCCCACACCTCCACTCATAGTCAAAGAAAAAGTTAAGCATAGCTACTTTCCCCATTTCTACCTCCCCCCCTCACCTCTTCAAAGAAGAATGGAATTGGAAGTACTTTTTTTTGATAATATGAAAAAAATATAGAACTACCAAGAATAACATTCATTGCTAAGTATAAGCAGACTGGCCAAATCACAGAAACATTTTGGTTTTAGAATTGTTTTGAAACCTTTGTTTATGCTTAAGAACATTTAGCACATCAAATTCTTCATAGGTCCAAATGATGCAAAATGTGCACCTGGCTCCAGAGACAGATGAAGATGATCTCTATTCCGGTTACAATGACTATAATCCAACTTATGATACTGAGGTAAAACATTTAATACTGCAAATTTTCTCTCTAATGTTGGCATGCCGGTTCTGGTCGACATTTGTTTTTTTCAGTGTTTTGCACTTCTTGTGCTTATGGTGCAGAGATCATGGCAGATCTTTCCCTCTGCAGAATTCCGTTAGTAATCCATCTTTACTTCTCTTATGATACTTACTATTAGTGAACTTTTCTTTTTTTCCTTTGTCCCCTTTTCCTGCTTCCCCCACAGTGGAGAATACAGTCTCTTGTTCTTAGTAGTGCTTAGTGAATGTTTGTTAAATGGGTGGTGAATTCATTAATTTTACTAACCTCCATTTATGACAACTTTATTTTTGGTAGGAAGGTCTGTTAGAAGGTGAGGATAATTGTACAAAGGAAAAACTCTCTTCCAATCTTCAGCTGCCTATTAGACGTCTCAACTGGATGTTCCATATACACATTAAACTCAACATGTCCAGAAGTAAACGCATTATCTTTTCCCCTAAACTCCTCCCTCTTCCTAACTTCCCTGTTACTGTGGAGGGTGCCACTAGTCTTCCAATTTCCCAGGCTCACAACCTAGGTGTCATCCTTGATTCTTCAGTCTGTCTCACCTTCCCGCATTCAATGAGTTGTCAAGTCCAGTCGATTCTACATTTATAATATATTTCACATATAACTCTTTATCTCCTCTGACATTGTATCTACTATGATGTAGACCCTCATCATCACACACCTCGACTCTTTTGATTGGTCACCCAGCCTCAAGTCTCTCCTTACTCAGCTGTCAAATTGGTCTTCCTAAAATACCATCTGACTACATCACATTCCCCATCCCCAGCCACCCTCATTCACTAAACTCCAGTGGCTCCCTATTACCTCCTGGATCAAATATAAAATCTTGTAGTTGGCTTTTAAAGCCTTTATAAACTGAGTCCTTCCTACCTTTCCAGGCTTCTTATTTCTTATCCCCTCCATATTCTCTACAATCCAATGACACTGGCCTCCTTGCACGAAACAATCTATTTTACTGCTCCATAATTTTCACTGGCTGTCCCTATGCTTCGACTACTCTCCCTCCTTATCTCCATGTCCCAGCTTCCTCGTCTTCCTTCGAGTCTCAGTTAAAATCCCACCTTCTGCAAGAAGCTCCCCTTGATCTGTCTTAATGCCAGTAGTGCCTTCTCTCTGGTTATTATCTCCAGTTTATCCTGTATATATCTTGCTTGTACATAGTCGTTTGCGTGTGGTTTCCCCTATTAAACTGTGAGCTCCTTGAGAGTGGAGGGATTTTTGTTGTTGCTTTTTTGGTTGCTTTTCTTTGTATCCTCAGCACTCGGCACGATGTAGACACTTAATAAATACTAGCTAGCTGACTGAAAAATAAAGAAAATAAACTGTCCATCAATTCAGCAAATGACTGTTAGGTACAAACTATTCTGGTTACTGTGGTTAGAATGGCACAGACCCTGCCCTCTAGGGGATCTAATGGTGGGGAGAAGAAAAACATACTCAAATAACTTGTACAGTAGAGTATGATAATTGCACAAAAGAGACATGCTGTGAAAAAAAATTTAAAGTATGATGTCACCTTTATCTAGAGTGAGGGCCTTTTAAGTGGTCCATTCCAGGCATTGGGGTTGGTGTAAGCTAAGTAGGGTATAGAGACAGAAGAGGGTAGAATGAGAATGAGAGATAAAGAATCATTGAATTTGGCTATAATGTGGAGTAAATTAAGGAGTATTGAAATTCAGCTGGAAGGTAAGTTATATAGGGCCTTGAATTCCAAATCTAGAAAGTTTTATTTTATTTAGTAGTCAGTGGGGAGCGACTGAAGATTACTGAGTAGGATAGTGACATGATAACAGCAATATATTAGAAAAAAAATTTAAGAAGTTATGTGAAGATTAGATTGGAGAGGGAGTACTAGACAGAGTAGGAGTACTCTTAAGAGAGGCCATTAAGTTAATCTACGTGAGGAAAGATGAAGTCAAGTCAAGGAGCATTTATTAAGTGCTTACTATGTGATAGGCACTATGAAAAGCACTGAGGATACAAAGACAAAATGAAATAATACCTGCCCCCAAAGAGCTTCTATTTAGTCTATTCAGGGAAGCAATCTGTACATATATACATATACCTTACCAACACTAATCTTCCGTAAATGCAGTTGGGAGGGATCTTTATTTGAAATCTCACATAGAACAATTTTGGAAGATGTGTTTCTTTTGATTGCTATACAGTTTGAGTAATTTGTAGGTCTAAGCCTGCAGAATCTTAGATACTGATCTCTTGAAGCACTGAGAAGTGAAAAATGAATTAATTAGGTTCAACAAACATGTATTAAGCAAGAAATTGTTCTGGTCTGACAAACATCAAAGAATGGCATAGTCTTTCTCCTTATGAAGCTTCTGAAGGAGACAGAAAAGTTAATTTGCTTTTTAAATTATCAGAGTCAAAAGTTAATGTTTGTAGTAAACATCAGCATAATTCAAAAATTCTTAATTTCTTTGTTCTGTAGTTTCATAGCTTTTAGGAATTCCTGAAAAGTGGTTTTTCTCTTAAATAAAGTGTTGTTTATAAATATAAGAATTGGGAAGGAAGTTACATTGAAAAAAAAAAGCAATAAGCAGGGTATATGTAAAAGAAAATAAGCATTAGGAGTGGCTTGGTGGCACAGTAGATAGAGCACTGGCCCTGGAGTCAGGAGGACCTGAGTTCAAATGCGGCCTCAGACACATAACACTTACTAGCTGTGTGACCCTGGGCAAGTCACTTGACCCCATTGCCTAGCCAAAAAAAAAAAAAAAGAAGAAGAAGAAAATAAGCTTTAAAGGCTATTTAAATAGTCAACTCCAAAGTTGTTATTGACTTAGCACCTATTCTGTCTAATTGGTTTATTGATATCTGTTTTTCTTCCCCATCCTTAAGGAAGATTAGTGAAGCTGTTCTCTGATTAATGTTTTACAATGGGTTGATTCCTAGCACCAAGAAATTAAGCAGGATAACAGGATGGGAAAACCTGTTTATTAATTCTTCTTGAGTTGTCATGTCTTCACAATGTGGTATAAAGTCCCCAGACATCAGAATAAAGTGAATTAATAGAATATCAGACAACTATATTTAAATATAAGTATAAATATGAGTATATTTAAATATAAGTACAAGAGTCATACATTTGAAAGCCAAATAAAAATTTCTGGATCATCTGTACCTGTACTCTCTCCATTAGTGAATATTGGAATATTAGAAAGTTGCCTTACAACCAGTTTTTTAAAATCTAAATGCCTTACATTCCATAGAAAACAAAGTTACTTTCCTACTATAATTTCATGTATCTTGCTCAATAAAATTTAATTAAAGTAATTAGCCAAAGAAAATTTTTCCTGTGATAGAAACACCAAACTATGGAAATTTCTATCATTTTTATGTTTTTTCCTAACCATTTGTAAATATCTCTATAATTCATGACACACAAGGATTGGCTGGAAGCAGGAATACTGGTGGCACTTGTGCAAAAAGAGGAGAACCAAGAAGACAGCTACTAAAATTCAGACTGACTATTTGATCCATCTTAAACTTTATGTGCAGAGCTTAATAGCTTTTTTATCTGTATTTAAGCTGGTTTATGAATCTAAATACTCTAGATTCTGTAGAATGTAAGGTAACTTTCCTAAAACAATGTAATGCATTCTCAATAAAATTTAATTAAAAGAATGACTAGAAATAATTATCTAAATATTTTTCTGTGATAAACATCAAACCAATTATTGGAATTTTTATATTAATATCTTTTTATATCCTTTGCTTAGCCATTTGTAAAGAAGGAAAGATAGGAGCAGCGAGGTGGCGCAATGGATAGAGCACTGGCCCTGAAGTCAGGAAAACCTGAGTTCAAATCCAGCCTAAGATCAAACACTTGACATGTACAAGCTGTGTGACCCTGGGCAAGTCACTTAATCCCAATTGCCTCACCAAAAAATAAATAAATAAATAAATAAATAAAAAGAAGAAAAGATAAATGAATAGATAGATGATAGATAGATCAATAGATTGATAAACAGTTCATTCAGTAAGCCTACTGTGTGCCAGGCTTAGTGCTGAGTACTGGGGATATAAATACAAGCAGAAAGATATTCCCTGCCCTCAAGGAGCTTACATTTAAGTGGGAGAAGAACATATAAAAGGGAGTTGAAATGGGGAGGGGACAGGAATTTACCTGGGAATAGGCAAGGTGGAAAGGTGATCCTGGGCTTCCTGGCCTGAGCTGGGTTTGAAGAGGGAAGGAAAGCTGGCAGGGTGCTTCTCCCTTAGGGACAAGAGGTTCTGAGAGGAACCCTACAAGAGGTGGAAGAGACCATAAGGTTGATGGTGTTGCCTGCTTGAGAAGAAGGCCTGTGGGGCAGAGTTGGAGGGGTGGTCTGGAGCATCATGGGCTCCAGGAGGCCCCAAAACTCTTGCTTAAAAGCTGCGTAAAACTAAGACTTTGGGGGTACTCTGCATGTATATGAGTCTGTGATCCACTGAGATCAAAAAGAGGATAGGATGGAGAAAGGAATACCCTTGATGAATAAAGCTCAAGAAGGAGAAAAGGGAATCAGGCAGGTAGTCAATAATATTCAGATGTTAGGAAAGTTACATTTTATTTTATGGTTCACTGAGAACCATAAAATTCTGTTGTGTGTTTTTTTTTAATGAAGAAAAATGCATGTAAATAATGAAATCATCTCTTAAAACATACTAATCTAGTATTTTAGTGAACTGCAATTTATCCTTTCTGTATCTTCATATTTTGAAAAGTTGGTAATAATAATTGACACTTATTTACATCATGCTTTTAAGGTTTGCAAAGCACTTTACATAAATGGTCTCATTAAATTATCACAACAATCTGGCTACATAGATAATATAAGCACTTTATCTCTATTTTATCGATAAGGATCTGAGAACCTAAGTGACTTACTCAGGGTCATAAAGTGAAATGTCACACTTAAATCTGTATCTAGTGAGTCCAAGCTGAGAGTTCTTTCCACTAAACACGACACTGGACAGTATGGAAAGATGCGTTTTTGTTTTTTCTTTCTCTTCAAGCAATCAGGAAATGTTTATTGAGAGGACTAACACAAGGCAAAGTTATACAAATGATAGTAAGAAGACTTGTATAATAGGATTAAGGATGTTTGTATATGATAGTAATAGGAAATAATGGTTAAATGGGTAGGGTTAGCCAGATTATGCAAGGTTTTGAAAGACAGAAGGTTTTAGGTAAGCAATTAGGTAATTTAGGTAATCAATTCCTAATTCATGTTAATATTAAACATATGTTTTAATTTTAGGAACTGGAAAATGATACAGCATTTCAGCAGGCTGTGAGAACTAGTCATGGCAGGAGACCTCCAGTAAGTAAATTTTGTTATACAGGAAATTGAAGAATTTGTTTACATGCTTGCAAATACAGACACTTTTACAAAACAGACAGAGGTTAGTCTCAACCACTAATTGTTTGAAATGTGCTTTATTTTTTAATTTTGCTAATCATATGAGTTATTAATAGAGAATGTGATGTTTTAATTCCTCAGGTTATTGGGAGATCACATACTAAAACATCATTCCACTGTGCTAAGCTAAATGATCCCATGTATTTTCACCAGAACATAACTCACATCAATTCCTCATTAAAAATCAATGGCAAATCTTCATAAATCAGAACCAGAATCAGTTGATAGAGAAGGGCATGGAGTTGTCCAAAAGTAGAACAGATTTACCATAGGATGTAATGGGTTCCCCTTTACCTGTTCAATCGTGTCTGACTCTTCATGACCCCATTTGGGTTTTGGTGGGGTTTTTTTGGCAAAGATACTGGAGTGATTTGCTATTTCTTTCTCCAGTTCATTTTACAGATGAGGAACTGAAGCATACAGAGTTAAGTGACTTGCCCAGGGTCACACAGTTAGTAAGTGTTTGAGGCCAGATTTGAACTCAGGATTTCATGACTCCAGGCCCAGTGCTCCATCCACTGAGCCACTTAGCTGCCTTTCTCTCTTTACTGGAAGTCCTCAAATGGTGGCTGAATGATTACTTAGCAGGGACACAGTATTGGCACATTCCTTGGTAGGAATGGATTAGGCTAGTCTTCTGAGAAAACTTCCAACTCTGAGATTTTGTGATTCTCTGAGTCCCAAAATGAGAGAGTGATCTGCCTCCACTCTTGTTTTATGATAGTGCCTGAGCACCTAAGAAGTATAATTTTTAAGAAATTAGCCATGTATGAACTCTTGTACATAAAATAAAAGTCCTTATTCATGACCCTTTCTTTTCCATTTCCTTGACAGTTCTGTTTTCCTAGCTTATAAAAACACATTAATTCTATAAATTACTTTATTTTTTCTTTTTTCCTCAAGATAACTGCCAAAATACCCAACACAGCAGCAACTCGACCGATAGCCACTGGATATGGGGTCAGTTTTATTTTAATGAAGCTATTAAGTGGACTTTCTCCTCTTTAAACCCTTAAAGCACAGGCCTTACCAATGAGGGTTACTCTTCTGTCCTTAAAAGCATCACGAGCACTCAGAGACATTTTCCAAAGTACAGTTGTACTCCTTCCACCTTAAAGAAATCTGTAGGCACTGTGTAAGATAATGAGAATAGCTGATATTTGTACAATACTTTAAAGTTTTCAAAGCCTCTTGCCTTCTTTTACCTCATTTCATCCTCATGACGACACTAATATGGGCACTTGAGGCATTATTTTCTGTTTTATGGGTGATGAAATGAAGGTTCAGAGAAATTGTTTGCCCGTGAAGATCACTAACTCCTACGTTAGCCTTTTCTTTTGGTAAACAAGGGACCACGATAGATAACCATGGATCTTGCAATATATGGTATCTTATTATAAGTCAAACTGAGTAGGCATCAGCATAGGATCTTAGGGCGGACTTGGGTTTTGGTGCTTATTTTGATGATATTTTGAACTCACATCGATATCATGCTATCTCAAGTTTTCTTGTAAGAATCTCATCCTTTGTGTGGTACAAATATTATCGTTCCCATTGTACAGAAGAGGAAACATATTTAGAAAAGTGAAGTGAATTATATTAGGGTACATACTTAGCAAGCATCAGATCCACAGTTTAAACCCATGTCTTCTGACTACAAGTTTATAGTAGTTTCCACTGTACTGTGTTGTTTGTCGTAGTTGAGAATTAGCCTGAGCCAGAATGATCAAGAAAGTGGGATTTGGTACTTTTTTATTATCATTAAAACCCTCACTCCTGTGAGTAAACAAGGTTAAAGGTAAATGTTTTCAGAGCCATTTAAACTAACTGAATTTTTCTGTTTGCTAGTCTAAAACATCACTGACATCATCATTGGGGAGGCCAATGACAGGGGCCATTCAGGTAACTTGGAACTTATTTATTCTATGACTTTCTTTTAAAGTACCTAGAATAATGCCAGTAAAGTTTTCTTTTCATAATAATTTTAAATTACTAGTTTTGAACAAAATGTTACTTATATAGTGAGCTTAATCTCTAATCTGTGAGTTAGAGATTTGACTGATGTAAATTTGTGAGGGAGGGAAGGGCCTCTTTAGATTTACATGAGGAAAGTACTTTCCCTTATATTTTATTTCAAGTTGCTAGGCAATTTAATACAGTGTTAAGAAATACAACCTATAAAAAAAAAAAGAAAGAAAAAAAACGCATTTTGAGGGTTGGGCACAGGACCAGCAGTATGCTGGCATGCTAATCTCCAGGACATACTGTTCCTTTGCTGACTCTTTCAAGTTTTCAGTTTCAGAGCCTTGTAGGAAACTATAATAAACACTAACTGCCAAGTAATAGGTAAAGTGAATTTTCTAGTTAAATAGAGAGTAAGTCAATTTTTATCAGAGTCAGAATTTGATGAAGGTAAGGGCAGGCTTCTCTCTTTGGCTGCACATGTGGCTAGTGAAGCACAGGAAGGAGAAAATCAGGCTGACAGTTACTAAAATTCAAATAGTCAACATTTGATCCATCTTAACTTTAAAATAGTTTAACATAAGGTCAATCTTTTGTTTATAAAATAAGCTTATAATGGTTTTTATTAATTTAAGGATGGAGTTGCTCGCCCTATGACAGCGGTGAGGGCAGCTGGTTTCACAAAAGCAGCGTTAAGAGGTTTGTTATACCATCTTTCCTAATTAATTTTCTCTAGTTTTTATATCATTTGTATAAATCCATTCCTCTATGGTCTGTATGTATATATGTGTATCTACATGAGCATATATATTAAGCAATACATGTATATGTATCTACATACATTTAAACACATACTTGAAATACTCAAATGAATCTGTGATCTCTTATTGTAGGTATTCCCTCCAGTGATACAGATTACAACCCCTCCATGCCTGCCTACCTTGTGATGCTCTTGTTCATACCCTCCCATTAGTTGACTTTGGAGATCTACCTAATGTGATGGGGTCTTTCCTTGCTTTCTTGTGATGTTGCAAAGATCTCAGTGGAGAATGTAGACTGTCACTTGCTCTTTTCTGTGACCATCCCATCTTTTTGCCATGCATTTTCTGGAGGACATCCTTTACACTTCTCCTTTGTAATTCCTTTTTTTATATATTTGTTATGGCCTGCTCCTGCCCACCATAGTCCTCTACATTGAACTTTGGGTGATGCTCAAGTTCTGGTTTTTTTGAGATTGTAGGATTCTATTACTCACAGCCATATGATATTCGTCCTTTAAAAATCAAGTAAAATTTGCTTCTGCATTTGGCTTTGTTTTGTGTCTTTCTTGCGAAGAAATTCTTTAAGGACCTGTTTGATTTCTTCTGGGATTGTTCTATTTAGATTGTTTGTTCATTTTGTTAGTGTTGATATTTTACTCTTTTGAAGATAAATATCCAGTTCTTTTAGAATATCAAATTTATTGGCATGGAATTGTGCATCATGATTTTTGATAATTTTTTTGCCCTTGTGATTGTTCACTTTTTTCTTCTAATTTGGTGATTTGAGTTTATTCTATTCTTAAAAAATTAGATTTGTTGGTTAGTCATAATTTTTCTTGATATTTAAAAAAAAGAGTTCCCCTATAATATCTTTATATCTTAACTTTTTTTATTTTATTTAATTTATTTATTTTTTTAGCGAGGCAGTTGGGGTTAAGTGACTTGCCCAGAGTCACACAGCTAGGAAGTCTTATGTGTTTGATCCTGGATTTGAACTCAGGTCCTCCTGACTCCAGAGCCAATGCTCTATCCACTGCGCCACTTAGCAGCCCCTTAACTTTTTTTTAACCCACAAAATTCATGTTGTATTTTAAGAACTTCTGTTATCTGTATGCTCAAAATAATGTATAAACATGATGAAATTCAAAACATTTGTTATTTATAAATTTTATATTCACATAGCAACTAGAAAAATTAAATAACTTATCTAATATTATTCTGGAGACCTAAGTCTTAGTTCATTGTTAGGTCTATTATGATGAATTGCAAATTTAATACAAATTTTCCAATTTTACCTCAGGTTCTGCTTTTGACCCTCTTGGTCAGTCCAGAGGCCCTGCTCCTCCATTAGAAGCCAAAAATGAAGACAGGTATGTAATTTGTTTTGCTATTGTTTTTAGTTGGAGTGGCTTTTTAAAAAATACACGCTGCATAAGTATTTTTAAAATCAGCATCAGTATAATATTCAAAACACAGTCTTTGTTTATTGGAACTTAGAGTAAACCCACCTAAGAACGATATTCATGTGTGTGCTGGGTGATATTTTTTTTTAACATATTGTAATTTTTATGAATACTGGTATCTACTTCCTTTGAAGTCCAGATGACTAAAATGATGTTATAAATATGAAATTATGATTTTAAAAATGCTTCTAAAAATATAACCTACACATTTCAAGTTGTCAAACTAACATTGAAAAATCAATTTTCTTATAACATTACCTAATTTTTATACTAATCTATAAAGAGAGACAAAAAGCTAAAAAATTTTTCTTAAAGTTGATATGGATTCAAGGTTTGGTTATCATTAATCTGTATATCTAGCACATCATTTTTTTTAAAAAATTGCTATACTTAAAACCCTGAAAGATATGAATTATACCGTAAATAGAATATATCTTTCCCTTTTTTGATAAATAATTTTGGATGCTCCTGCAGAAAGGAAGAAACTATTGTATTTTCCATATAGTAACATTTTGTTTCTTCTGGGTATAAGGACAATCTTTTAGTTATTATATCTTCATTTAAATATTACATTTTTCTGGCCATCTGTAAAATAGACTAGTTATTCATAAAGTCTTAATAACATCCTTGTACATTTTTTAAACTTCAACTTTCGTACAAGTAGCATGCAAAAATGAATTTATTGAAGTCTTTAGGACAGTAGGAATAGTTTACAATGATAAACTTAAAAATAACCCTTATCCATCATGATACAGACCTCAACTCCTTGAAAATTAATTACACTGAATATTCTAACTGTAAGGTTCATCAGAGAACATGGTTTTATTGATTAAACTACACTTGTAACAACCCTCTTTAAAAAAAAAAAAGTCCTTTTGGCAACAGGAGCCAAGTGGTTCATCTACCAGTCCATTCATTTGGGAAAACTTCATTTAGGAATTGTCATACATAGAATATGGTAACATGGTAGTCTATCTTGCTTAAAGAAGATGATAGTGGAAGGAGTTAATTTTGTTATTTTGAGGGAATGACTTTGAAATGACACAGTTATCTTATTGATTCTATCCTTTTCAGATTATGATTTTGTACTCCTGGAACCTGTTTCTTTAAATTCCTTTATCCAGTTAGAAATTTAATTTTACATGTAGCTTCTCTCTGGTAATGAGTGTTTTGAATTTTTTTTCCTAGCAAATGAGTGGACTTTAGTTCTGCTTGTCAAAGGATATAACCTTTTTGTTTATAGTAGCCATTTTTTTCATTTGTCACAGGATCTGAATTAAGAATAAATTGTGTAAAACTGTGTATTGGTAATGGTGTTGTCTTAAATTTTCACAAGGATAGTGTTAAAATTTATCAACTATTAATATTTTGGATAATTTAATGCTTTAAATAAAAGCTTGCAAATTTTAATTTCAGTCCAGAAGAAAAGATTAGACAATTAGAAAAAAAAGTAAATGAGTTGGTAGAAGAAAGCTGTATTGCCAACAGTTGTGGAGACTTAAAATTGGTAAGTTCATTGATTCATAGGAATTAAGATTATGTAATTTATGAGAACATAGAATTCTGTTCTTTTACTAAAATGAAGCTTTTGACTTCGCACACTGGATTGTAAATATTTATCTTAGGCTGTGATATTAAGACTAATTTGGCCAATTTGTCAAGACATGTAAATTTTTTTTCTTCATTGTCTAACTGGATTTAATGCTTTTGTGAAGATAGAGGCTTAGATACTTGCTTTCTAAAATCTAAAAAGAACCACTGCCTTTTTGATGGTTGGTCTGTCTCTCTGTCTGTTTCTGATGCCTCATCATTCATAGCACTGCTCTGTCATTTCTGGATGTTTCTCAGGATATCTTTAAAACTTTCCTTTTTTTTTTTTTGTAAATGAAATTGTTGACGCTATAAAACTATGAGTAGTCTTTATGGATTCTCTCTGCTTTTATTTCCACTACTTCAGCTTCTATAATGACTGTCATTATATGAGCTGCAGGAGCAGCTGATAAAGTTTGCAAAGCCTGTTTTCAGGCTTAAGGAAACATTTAAATGATTTTAGTAGTTTAATCACATTCCTACAGAAACAATTTGTGACTATGACAGCAAATTCAGGTATTTGTTTACTGTTAAAATGAGGTGCATTCATTGGATGACATAAAAAGCACTGGATTAGGAATCAATATACCTAGGTTCTAGTCATTTAACTTCCCTCAAATTGTTTCCTCACCTATAAAATGAGGAATTTTGATTGACATCAGAACTCCCCCTTACCTCTAGAATTCTGTGATTCTCAGAAATCCAGTTCCTTATAGCTTCTGCCCATTCATGATTTTTCTGGAATCAGACAAAGTCAGTCTCTTTCATTTGGCAGCCTTTTAAATTTAAACGTGATTTATTGTGTCCTTCCCCTGCTACTCCCTCCCTCCCAATTTTCTCTAAATCACCCCTAATTCCTTTAGCTTTTCCTTCTGTATGACAGTTTTAGTCTCCTAATGATATTAGATACTGTTCTCCAGATGTGCTTCAATTTGTTACCCTTGAGTTTAAAATGTAGTGCCCCAAATTAAACAGTTTTCTAAGTTTTGTCTGACCAGCAAAGAATACAATGAGACTATCACTTCCCTTGTTCTGCATGCTAGTACTCATTTTAAACTTTCAGTCAACTAGAAACCCCAAATCTTTTCCACACAAATTTAGGGCTGTCTTTCTCATTCTGTGTTTATGTAATTGATTTTTTTGAACCAAGTGTAGGAGATTATATTTATCCACAGTAAACTGCATCTTGTTTGGTTTAACCCGTAATTCTAGCTTGTTACAATCTTTTTGGATGCTGATTCATTAATCCAACATATAAACTACCCTTTACAACTTCATGTCATCCTGAAATTTGATAGGTATGCTGTCAATGTCTTCATGTTGTCAGTAAAAATATTATACCAGGACAGGGCTTCTCTTCTGTGTTGGTCCTAGTCATTTGCTGATTCACCATCACTTTTTTTTTGCTTTAAAAATATTTGCAAATTTAATTATGTTATTAAGAAAACATATACTGTGTATTTGTTTCCCTTAAAAATTGGTAACTTGAACTACAAGCTGTGTGAGTTTTTGTGTCTTTAGGAAAAATATTTATACTTTATAAGCTCCTATATAAAATCATGTAATCATTATATATAAGTTGCTGAACGTTCAAAAACAGTTAAAAATCATCTGATTTAAGGCCCTAGAAAAAGCTAAAGATGCAGGAAGAAAAGAGAGAGTCCTGGTGAGACAACGTGAACAAGTGACAATTCCTGAAAACATCAACTTGGACCTAACTTACTCAGTAAGTGCTGAAATATCTGTGAAGTCAGATTGTTATCTGTATTGTTTGTGGATTACAGTGCAGGTGTAATCCACTCGACTTTGTGAATCAGTTCTGTGGAAAAGATAATGTTAAGTGAAACGATGTTATGTAGGAAAGTTAGCCCGGATCAAGGCTGGCTGTCTAATTCAAGTCTCAGTCCAGATGCAAGTGGGGTTTGGAAACATTATTGTAAGGTTGGTTTAATGTGTTAACAACATTGTTGCAAAATAACAATCAAGACTGTACTATGTGAGGTGTTCCTGAGTCTGGCAAGCACTTCAAACTAGGCAAGTAAAATAGGTTGGGTATGGGGTGGAAAAAAGATGGAACCGCTTGATTACCAGCACAACCTGCTTCTTACTCGAAGCAAATTTTCCCAAAGATACATGTATGCTATTGTTTGAAATTAGTTTCTGCCACTCAACATAGCTTTAGTATCATAAGGAATTTGAGAAAATGAAGGTTTCATTTTGAAGAGGTGTCTAAATATCACCTTTGTGTTTATGTCTGTTATTTTTAATGTGTTCTGTTCAATTTAACAAATGCTTAAGTGCCTACATATACGGCACTGGGCCAACCATTGGGAATACAAAGACAGAAGCACAAGTCTTCTGCTATGAGGTGGAGTTGGGAGTGCAGATCACAGCATGTACACAAAGACAAGGTAATTAGAGAAGGGAGAGAATATTATAAATTAGGAGGAATCAGGCTTCGCAGAAGACGTGGATCTGAGTTGAGCCTTGAAGGAAGTTAGAGATTCGGAGTGGTAGAAGTGAAGAGAAAGTACATTCTAGACAGTCCATTCCAGGTATGGGGGACAGCCTGTGCAAAGAAGAAATGCAATGGGATGCCAAGTTTGGGGAATAGGTAGTGGGTCGGTTTGACTGGAATGTAGAATTGATGAACAGAATATGGAATAATATGGAAGAGAATATGGAACAAGTCTGCAAAGGTAGATGAGAACCAGATTGTAGAGGTTTGTATTTTAGATTAAGGAGTTTGTATTTTATCCAGTAGGCAATAGAAATAACTGAAGTTTTTGTTTTTTGTTTTGTTTGTTTGTTTTTTTAGTGAGGCAGTCGGGGTTAAGTGACTTGCCCAAGGTCACACAGCTAGTACGTGTCAAGTGTTTGGTCTGAGGCCGGATTTGAACTCAGGTCCTCCTGACTTCAGGGTCGGTGCTCTATCCACTGCGCCACCTAGCTGCCCCCATTTTTTTGTTTTTTAATAAGGGAATGACATTGGTCAAACCTGTGTTTAAGGAATATTAATTTAACAGCTATATAAAGAAAATCCTCTGTTGGAAAAGAAGAAGTTAGAAGTAGAGAGAACAATTAGGAGACTATTGCAGTAGTACAGATAAGAGGTAATGAAGGTCTGAACTAAGATGGAGGCTGAGCGTAGAGTGGACAGATGTGGGAATGTTGTCCAGGTAGAGTTACAAGACTTGACAACTGGTTGAGGTGAGAGAGAGAAGGAAAAATTAAGGATGGATTCAAGGTTAACAATCTGGGTGATTGGGAGGATGCTCCTACTCTCAAAAGAAATGGTAAAGTTTGGGGCAGCTAGGTGGTGCAATGGATAGAGTTCTGGCCTTGGAGTCAGGAGGACCTGAGTTCAAATCTAACCTCAGACACTTGACACTTACTGGCTGTGTGACCCTGGGCAAGTCATTTAACCCTGATTGCCTCACCAAAAAGCAAAAACAAAAAAATAAGAAATGGTAAAATTTGGAGGGAGGGATGAGGTCTTGGGGGAAAAGATGAGTGCTGTCTTGGATATGCCTCTGAGACATCTTGGTAGAGATATGCAGAAGGTGTTTTATGTGAGAATGGAATTCATGTGGTTAGAGTAGGAGTAGGCAGGCAGAGGGAGAGGCAGAAGCATAAGAAGTTATGATAAGAGAGGAATTTTAGATTTAAATCATGGCGATACCATAGTTATGGTGATGGTAAAATCTAAGATGTGAGTATCCCTATGCTGAGGTGGACTTGAAGATAGAGATTGGAGTCTGGACTCCATGGAGTTGGAGATTGATGAAATTAGAGGTCAGTGTATTTGTGGAGATATCAACATCTATACCGAAATCTCTGTGTTAGAAGGGCAGGAGTGGGAGTTGAGAGAAAGAGAAACAGCCAGTGCTGGAGGGGATAGTTCCCAGACTAGATTAAACTCATGCTTCTCACCAGCCCTGTAACTTCATCCCAAGATGGCAGGAGACAAGGGCTGTAAAGAAAATACCTACATGTGGATAAAGAACTCAACTCCTGTTCCCTGAGCCCTCTGAAGCACTGTTAATTCCTTCAGGCTGAGAATCTTTTATGTCTCTGCTCAAAGACTCTGCAAGTCTCCTTCAGTACCGGCCTTCTGGTGCCTCTGCTCTCTGAGGCTTGAGATCTTTCATGGGTATGAGTTTTTTTAATGCTGGACTTCTACCATCTCTGGCTTCATGAGACTCAGGATCACTTTGGGTTCTGAGACCCTTGCAATGACATATAACAGCTGTGGTGATTGGATCTTCAGAGAACTGGCCTGAATGCACACTTGATGCCAGCTCCCTAGCCTACTTGTAATGGCCAGAGATAAAACATACTTGGAAGATATCATATGCATGGAATAAAATTTAAGTTTTCAGTCTTTTAGTTTCTGGAAGCAAAAGCTCTTAGGTGCCTTTGGTTGGTTCCTTGAGGCATGGAATTTCTGATGGTTGTGAAATTCCTGTCATTTAGGCTTTCTATAGCAGCTTTTGAATAGATCATAGTTTAATTGGCTCTTTTTGACCTCTAAAACATAATTCAGGGTTATTTAATGACTTAAATAATTTACAAAATGCTTCCTTGAAGGTCTTAAAGAGGTAGTACATTTCTAGACTGTGCATAATTTGCACTTAGAGAATGGATTACTAAGCAAGACTTGACTTAATACTTTGCTTATTTTTTCCATAATCATCAACAAACATTTATTCTCTACAAGTCTCTTTGAAATAAATGGGCTATGAGTATTAATATTACTTAGAGATAAACTAAAAAATAATGACTTTTTGAGGGTACTCATGTACATTAACTTTCTAGTTTTTTTAAATAAATTTTTACTCGTATCTTTCGTTTTCACATCACTTAAATTTCCTCTTCTATCTTTTTCCCTCCCCTTTCCCAGAGAGCCATTCTATATAACAAGGAATTTTTAAAAATCTGTTTCATTTTTAAGACAAAATATTCTTTATCTCCTTATTTTGGTTCCTAATCACGTTGGTAAATAGTTCCTATTTTAGCTTATTTAAGGTGCCTTATGTAAGTAACTGTCCTTGTTATAAGATAATAATGGTTATCATATTTATTCTTATTAAAAATTTCTTTAGGTTCTTTTCAATTTGGCCAGTCAATATTCAGCTAATGAAATGTATGCTGAAGCACTAAACACATATCAAGTTATAGTGAAGAATAAAATGTTTAGCAACGCAGGTAGGTATACCTTTCTAAAATGTTGGCAGTTTCATTTTTATATTGTGATCAGCTTACTACAAAGTTGTTTATAGATAATATAATAAATAATCCCACTCATGTCCATGATTTATAATTTTGTAGTTTTAATGAATCTCTGTTGACATTATGTACTATTATTGTTATCATAGGTTCATAGGTTTTGAAGAGACTTCAGAGGCCATTTAATTCAGTGTGTCAAACTCAAATAGAAACAGAGGCCACTAATCTGCACATAAGAATCCCTGCAGGCCACATTGATTTAGCTTTAAAATGTAATGTTATCTATGGTTTATTGTGTGTTTATGTATTTTGTTAAATTTTCCCAATTACATTTTAATCTGATTTGGCTCCACTTGACAGTACTTGACTCCTCTGCTTTAATTCAGTCCCTAAACTGGAGTTTGAACTACCTCTAAAAAATCCCCAAGAAATGGTCAGCTGGCCTTTTTTTGAAGACAACCAGGTCCAGGGAACTCATTACCCTTTTTTTTTCTTTGCAAAGCAGTATGGGTTAAGTGACTTGCCCAAGATTACACAGCTAATAAATGTCAGGTGTCTGGGCTGGATTTGAACTCAGGTCCTTCTGATACGAGGGCCAGTGCTCTATCCGTTGGGCCTCCTAGCTGCCCTGAATTCATTACCTTTTAAGTCAGGTCATTCTACTTTTGGACCACACTGATTTTTAGAATCCTTCACAGTGTCCCTCTCCCTCTTAATTCTAGTTCTGCCCTTGGAGGTCAAGTAGACATCTAATTGCTTGCCTATGTAGCAAACCTTCAAATATTTAAAGACTGTAACTCTAGCTCACTCCCTCCCCCCAGGATTCTCATCTCTAGGCTAAAAATACTGAGTTTTTTTCATCCGATCCTTTTATGGCTTCTAATTCCCCCTGCATTCTGGTGACCACTCTCTCTACTCAGTTTGACTTGTCAATATCATTTCAAAACTATGTCCAGAGCTAGATATATATTCCAGAAGTAGTCTGACCAGGGTAGAGTACTATAGGAGTTATTATAAGGCAGAGAATAACAGGAATGTTAGTTTCTTTCTGATGAAATGGTTTATAAGATCATTAAATTTATAGTTGTAGTAGATTTTTATTATTTAGATATTCCCAGTATAAAGGTAATCATGAGTGTGCTGGTAAATGTTTAACAATCAGCTCTCGGGGGGGTGGTGTATACACAATGCATTTTAAATTATAATTTACTATATTGACATTTTTTCCAACACTTAAGTATAGACAGTGAACAAACTAATTAAACCCTCATTTGTAACATTTGCCAATTTCCTATGTATAAATGCTCACACTGAAAAATTTAACAGTCAGCTCTTGAGAGCTAATTCAAGCTGGCTGTAGCACAACCCTGAAGGAAACCCTTTATGCAAGAATCTGTATTTGCAGAAATGTATTATGGAAGTGTTCATTATAGTGCTAGCTGATAGCATAAAGCATAGGACATCACTGAAAACAACACTTAATTGGTAATAACAATAAAAGCTTATTCATATAATGCTTTGTGATTTACAAAATGATTTTCATATAATAGCCTTCTGAAATAGGTAGTACAATTATTCCCATTTTGCAGATGAGGGAACAGAGAGTTTTAGACATTAAATGACTTTCCCAGGATCATATAGCTTGTAAGTCATAACTCTTAACCCATAACACCTGACTCCAAGTTTAGTACTCTTTCATCTGTTTTACTCTGAGATGAAATAAACACAGCTGTTCTTTTAATTTTTTGAAGTTTTATTGATGGCTTTTGTCTTTTATAACACAATTATTTCCAAATGTGTTCCAGTCCCTCCAAAATCTTCTCATGTAACAAAGAAACAGCTACAATTGATCATTATTTGCAGAATTCATGTTTGCAAATTTGTCTACTGTCTAAAATTTGTTTATAACCCTAAAATTAATACTCAGGCACTTTTGTGGTCATTCATGGGCATGTACAGGATGGTGAAAACTTTGAGTCACACAATGTGTATGGTCCCAGCTGAGGCTGAACACGGCAGTGCTCTAATACTATATGTAAACAAGTGTCCTTTTCATAAAGTATTTTAGTGCCACTTTTTTTTTTGCATTTTTGTACTTTTTGTTGGTGATTTCAGTGTTTACAGTGTCCCCCCTGGTGTGGTGCTGAAGAATTTCTAGTGTTCCTAAGCTTGAGAAGACTGTAATGTACCTTATGGAGAAAATACATATGTTAAATAAACTTCATTCAGGCCTGAGCTATAGTGCTGTTGGCTCTGAACTGAATATTAATAAATCAACAATATGGTGCATCCAGAAAAAGGAAGAGGAAATTTGCTGATCTCTACATGAGGTCATTCTGGAAAGCACTGAGATAAATGTTGTGACCAGAGGCTTGAAGGGACCTAACCCTGTATTTCCCATAGGAGTAATGGTTCAGTATTCACTAATTCGATGTTTGAAACTTTGTAGAATATAACCACTGTGAATGATGAGAATCATTCACAATATATAAAACTAGCTGACCTTTAGCATACCTCTAGCATGTTGGGTGGACCCCCTGTGGTCTGCTTGGAGTATATAATGGTAGAGACTATGTCTGTCGTTGTATATAGCATCTACATTCATAGTCTCCCATTCTCTACCAGTGAAGACCTTTTTCTTCATCTGTCCTCTAGAACCAGTATTAGTCATTGCATTTAAAGTAAATTCAGCCACCTTCTGGCTTTGTTTTAATTTGTATCACTGTAGATGTGTATTCTTTTGGCTCTATTTTACTCTGCATAAGCTCATACAAATATTCCCGTGTTTCCCTGAATTCCTATATTTGTTATTTTTTATGGTACAGAAATATGCCATTACATTCATATACCACAATTTGTTCAGTTTCTTTCCAATTGATGGGTACTCACTTTGTTTCCAAATTTTTGCTAACATACACAAAAAGACTTCTGTGAATATTTGGTGTATGTAAGGCTTTTTTTGAAGGTCCTTGACCTCTTTGGGGTATATTCTCTGAAGTGGGATTGCTGGGTAAAAGGAAATGAAAGTTTAGTAACTTTTCTTATATAACTCCACATTGTTTTCCAGATATTTGACCATTTTGCTGCTCTATCAACAATGCGTTAGTAGCACAGTTGTTGCACTACAAATATGAAGAGCCAAGCAACACCACAGATTGTACCTCCCCATAATGTAAATTTATTCCTAAGGGAATATGTTTCTGATGCAGAATTTGTATTCTGTGACTAATTCAGAGTAGCATTATTAACGTTTTAGCAGAAATGTGTGATCTTTACACTTTCTTCTTCTGAGAAGAGAAATGGATAACTGATGATGAAGAAAGAATGTTGTTCTGTATGCTGTCAGGCAGTTTTAAACTTTGTCAACTGGTTTTGCTTTACTGTTTTTCTTTGTTAAGCTTTTCTTTTTTGAATGAAGAAGGGTTTAGTGGGGAAATATTTTGGGTATATAAAAAGCAGAGAGATCAACAAAAATTGGAAAAAAGTGTGATTTTTTTCCTTTAATATTAAAAATTTGCTATGTTATTCAGCTTTTTTAAGAAAAATTTTGCCGTTGTTGTTCAATCATTCAATTATATGTGACTCTTTGTGATCCCATGGACCATACTGTCCATGGCGTTTTTTGGCAGAGATAATGGAGTGGTTTGCCATTTCCTTCTCCGCTGGTTTAAAGTAAACAGAGGTTAAGTGACTTGCCCAGGGGCACACAGCTAGTTCATATCTGAGGCAGGATTTGAACTCAGGTCTTCCTGTATCCAAGTCCAGCACTCTGCCCACTGAGCTATTACTCTTACACTTATTTTTTCTGATATATTATTTCTCATAAGGCTGCATCTCCAGTTTTATTATGTCTGTCTTTAGGGATATGATTTATTTCATAGGTTTTTTTTTTAAAGAAACATCTTTTTCATTAAATGACGTAGTCTTCATTTTATTATGGATGTTAACATGTGAATGTGTAAATTTGATTTACATTTTAAAAACCTACTTAGTATTTATGCTTCGAAGTTGTATTTAACTTTATAAGATCACTGAAAAGCTTGGAAAGGTAATATTTAAGATCATCTGATGATAGCATATCTAATATGGAAAAATGAAAATAAATTAGAGTTGAATGTCACTCATTCATTTAACTTTTTTATTAGGAAGACTGAAGGTAAACATGGGAAATATTTATTTAAAACAGAGGAATTATTCCAAAGCCATCAAATTCTATCGAATGGCTCTAGACCAAATTCCAAGTGTCCATAAAGAGATGAGGTGAGTTTGTCCCATAATAACAATAATAATGTCTGACATTTATATTGAGCTTTAAAGTTTACAAACACTTTACACAGATTATCTCTTTTGAGCCGTAACAACAATCTTATCTGGTAGGTACTACATATATTTTTATCTCCATTTTACAGATGAGGAGACTGAGGCCCAGAGAGGTTAAGTGACTTGCTCAGGGTCACACAGCTAGGAAGTGTTAGAAGTGGAATTCAAACCCAAGTCTTCCTGACTTCAAATTCAGTACTCTGTTCATTACATCATGATCCTTGAAACATTAAAAAAGATTTTTTAAATGTCTTTCATAAACAAAATTGACTCCACTAACTCATTGTTGGAAGGGCAAGTGTTTTCATTTGTTTTGGAATTTGTAATGATTCATTTTAGTATCTCAAACCAGTTCTTGTGACCAAGGTATAAATTTGCAAGGCTGCTTGCTGGCTATGGTTAAAGCTGCATTCTGTGGCCAAGTATATAGTGAAGCTTCATAATTAAAATCTAAACCTATTGGTGCTCTACTAACCATGTCAAGTAATAGTCACAAGGAGTTCTGGGTTCCTCCAGTACTACCATGCAGATTCAGGGGTGAAGTTGCAGGAGAAGGAATCATCCCAATCTCATATATGAGAAGAAGAGGTGTAATTTTCCATGTTCTTCAAAGAGTCATAGATAGAATGTAGGCCTAGGGATATAAGGAACTTTATAGTCCAGTGTCTGCTTAGTAATAGCTCTTCTGGCTACTGTGGAACTCTACTCTGAAAGTGCAGCTCCCAGTAGATGTGTTCAGCGTGCCATATCTTTTCATTAAAATATATTTAGAATCATCGTCATCATCATCATCAACAGTAAACATTTTTTGAGCACATACTGTGTGTAGGTATCTGTGCTCGATGCCGAGGATACAGATAATCACTTAATTTCTGCTTATGTGTGCTTGTGAACATACTGGAGGGCCTTTAGCATGTTGGGTGGACCCCCTGTGGTCTGCTTGGAGTATATAATGATAACTAGCATTGATTTATGTAGCACTTTAAAGTCTGTAGGGTGCTTTACAGATAGCTCATTTTCTCTTCACAATAACCCTGGGAGGTAGATGTGGTTGTTATTCAGTCATATCTGACCCTACATGACCCCGTGAATTTTCTCAATGGGGTTTTCTTGGCAAACATACTGGAAGTTTGCCATTTCCTTCTCCATTGTGTCCCCATTTTATAGATGAGGAACTGACGTAAATAGGCAAAAATGACTTGCCCGGGGTCACACAGTTGACCTGTGTGTAAGGCCAGATTTGAATTCATATCTTCCTGACTCCAGGCCCAATGCTCTGCCAGTGTACATACTAGCAGTCATTTGATAGGTGTAGGCAAACTTGTCAAAACTCATTTATTTGCCAGCACATTTTATAATTTAAACTTTAGACTAAAATTGAGTTCAGAAACATATTCATTCACTTTCCTTTTTTTGTAAAATGTATCTCTTGCACTTCTATTCCAAATTTCTTTCAGTACAGAAAGGCACAAAATATCCGTTTAATGATGTGACCATATTATATTTTGTACGTTTGAAGTTTAGTTACATTTCATGTTTTGTCCCATATTACATAGCTAATTATGATGAGCCAGAGAAATGAGATATTTTTCTCATACTTAGATCCTAAAACAAATTGTTCCACATTTTTCACAATTATGTATTATGGGGTTTTTTTAATTTTTCAAAAATTACAGTACCAAAAATGTATTTTTACTCTTCCCTCCCCCCAAAAAAAGGTGCTGTAAAGAGGCACAACATAATCCTGTCCCTTGAAGAGTTTATAATCTAATTAGAGGTGGGACATTTAAATAAAAAGATATATAACAATACACAGTAGCATGTGGTAAATTTCAAATTGTGATACAGACAAGAAGTGTTATAAGAGTTGAGTCTGGGGTTGTCACCAAGCTCTAAGTCATTCAGGAAAGGCTTTCCTTGAGAAGGTGAGACTTGACCTAGCTGGGCCTTACAGGAAGGATAGAGCAGAAAATGAAACGAAGAGGAAAAGGGAGGAGCCATGTGAAAAAAGGTGCAGCAGTGGGAATATATGGTATTTATACAGAGATCAACTTTAGCTGGATCTTGTGGTTGGTGTAAGAAATTCTTTAGAGATAAGTTGGAGAAAGACGTAGGGGCAAAATTGTGAAAAGCCTTAAATGCCATTTTGAGGAGTTTGAATTTTAATAAGATAATATGCATATGTTTTTCCAGGATTAAAATAATGCAAAACATTGGTGTTACATTTATTAAAACTGGTCAGTACTCAGATGCTATTAATTCATTTGAACATATAATGAGCATGGCCCCAAATCTGAAGGCAGGCTTCAATTTGATTCTGAGTTATTTTGCTGTTGGAGACCGGGAAAAAATGAAGAAAGCTTTCCAAAAATTGATTGCTGTTCCCTTGGAAATTGATGAAGATGACAAATACATTTCACCAAGTGTGAGTATGAAAAGGGCTTTTGTGTAGTCAACTTTTAGGGTTTTTTTGTCTTTTGTTATTAAATAAACAATGTATGAATCCTAAGTCATGTGAGAGAGACACTTGAGCACATATTTACCTTGTGTTTATCTGGCCTTATTTTTAAAAAAATATTTTTTCAATAAACCAAAATTTATTTTGCTCCCCTCACTTCCTCCATCCCTGAAAAAGAGGAAAAAAACCCTTTTAACAAATACACATAGCCTTGAAAAACAAATTCCCACATTGACCATGTTCAAAAACTGTTTCATTCTGCACTCCAAGTCACTCTTTGTCAGGAGGCAGATAGCATGCTTCCCCATTGGTCCTCTGGAACCATTGTGTTGATCAGAGTTCTTAAAAAGAGTCTCTTTAAAATCAGTCTTTCAAAGTTATTTTTCTTTACAATATTTTTGTTATGTTAAATTGTTCTACTGGTTCTGCTCACTTCAATATGCATCAATTTATATAAGTCTTCCCAGGTTTCTTTGAAACCATCCCTTTCATTATTCCTTGTGGCATAATAGTATTCCCTTACATTCATATACCTTAATTTGTTCAGCCATTCCTAGCTGTTGGGCATCCCCTTAGTTTCTAGTTCTTTGTTACCACAAAAAGAGCTAATACAGATGTCTTTATATCTACGGGTCCTTTTCCTCTTTCTTGGTCTCTTTGGAGTATAGTAGTGGTAATGCTAAGTCAAAGGGTATATACAGTTTAGTAAACTTTAAGGTATAGTTCCAAAGTATTTTCCAGAATGGCTAGACCAATCAATTAAAACAGCCCTACTAACATTGTATTAATGTAGCTCTTTTCTCATAGTGTCCCCTTTGTCATTTTCCTTTTTTGTCAACTTTGCCAATCTGAAAGGTATGAGATAGAATCTCAAAGTTGCCTTAATTTGCATTTCTCTACTTATTAGTGAGTTAGAGCATTTTTTTTCATATGCTGGCTTGTCCTTTTTTTTTATTTCAATTTAAGTTGCTTTGGTAACTTTGTGTTACCATAGGTAACTTTATTGAAAGAAAAATTGAAGTATGGAGAAGTTAAGTTATTCTCTAAGATCAGATCTGAATTCTATTCCAACTTTACCATCTAGGCAATGATGAAGTTTGGTTAAAACTCATATATGATCAAATAGTAATGAGAGGGTTTTCTGATTTTATTTTTTAGGATGATCCTCATACTAATTTAGTGATTGAAGCTATAAAAAATGATCATCTGAGGCAAATGGAGCGTGAAAGGTAATATTCTGTGTTTAATAGTTCAGATTCTTAAAAGTGTAATTTTTTAAAATTAACTTTACACAGTTTTGTGTCCATTAAATGCATTGTGTTTTATAAATTCAGTACATCAAAGTATTGAATTTATATAGTATTGTGACGTTTATGACCATGCTGACTTGCTTTCTACTTGCTGAATTAGTCCAGAAACACAGCTACATCCACCTCTCATTTAGCTTTCTTATTTTCAGTAGTGTTCCCTTGTAAGAACACACCAATCACTGAGTTTTGGGGGCAGGAGATAGGATGGGTGCATAATCCATTATGGATACTCGGACACAGCTCCTGTCATGTCACTGTAGCCATAATTTACTCTTGATAGTGTACTAGTTGAACGTGCTACCCTCAATATGAGGAATATTTTGGTATGTTCCCTTCTCTTGAATATCTGGAAGAGGGCCTAGCATCTAGTTTTATGCTCATGTTGGCCATAAAACCATTCCCACTGCCAAGCTTCTTTCATATCCTAGGGAATGGAGAAAGGGGATCTTTTATACAAAAGGTCATTTCATGAGGCATAGGAGATGAAGATGGACCCAGGAGATGCATCTGGGTGATTTGACACCATGGATCCCAGTTCTCTTGTGGGAGGCACTTTTCCAGATCATTAACCAAATCTGTTAGTAATTTTTATGTCCATTCTTAGGGTTTTTTATTCCCTTTCTTCCTCCTACTAAGTCTTTGCTTGAACGCCGTGAATGTTCAAGAACTCATCACCCCACAGTGAATCTTATTCTGTTCTGTTTTCTCCCTCAATAGACTGAGCTCCTTGAAATCTGTAACTTGCCTTTCTTTGTTTCCCCAATGCTTGGCAGAGTGCCTCGCACATAGTAGACACAATAAATGTTTGCTGACTAATAACTCTATTTGTTCTTAAAATTGTTGTTAATAATAATTCCTCATTTTTCTATAGATGTTTAAGGTTTAAAAAGTATTTTTCTTACAACAGTGCTTTTAGATTTTATTATCTTCATTTTAAAGATAAAGAAACTGAGGTACTGATTAAATTACTTACCCAGGATTACTCAACTGGTAAGTGTTAGAATAGTGGAAAGTTTTCCACATCTGCTGTATAACTTCTGCTGTTGATGTTCTGGCCTTCGAGGCAAGTACATTAATGCCTCTTAGATATGCCATTCCTTCAGATATTTGAAGCCATTGATAATGTGTTTCCTAAGTATTCTGTTCTCTGGGCTAAACATCTCCATTTCTTTTAATAGTTTGCTATGTGGCATTATTTTTGAGTTCTCACAATATGTATTTGCCTATCTTAATTACTTTTCTAATTAAAATGTGATTTTTAAAATTTGTTTTCAGGAAAGCCATGGCAGAAAAATACATCATGACAGCAGCTAAACTCATTGCTCCTGTAATAGAAACATCTTTTGCTATAGGATATGATTGGTAAGAAATTGCTTCAGGCCTGCTGGGTATATGGTGATCTCTTTTCACAGTTATGAATTTTTTTTACACATCCTTCTCTCACTGAAAAAGAAAAAGTGTGCAGGTGTGGTTTGCACTTAGCAAACTCAGGTCTTCTGATGCCCAAATCTGGTGTTCTTTTTTTTTTAATTAATTAATTTATTTTTAGTTTTCAACAATCACTTCCATAAACTTTTGAGTTTTAAATTTTCTCCCCCTCTTTTCCCTCCTCAAGACAGCGTGCAATCTGATATAGACTCTACATATACATTCCTATTAGACGTATTTTCACATTAGTCATGTTGTAAAGAAGAATTAGAACCAATAGGAGGAACCGCAAGAAAGAAGAAAAAACAAAACAGAAGAAAAAAAAAGAGCAAATAGTATGCTTTGATCTGCATTCAAACTCCATAGTTCTTTCTCTGGATGTAGACAGCATTTTTCATCATGAGACTTTTGGAGAAGTCTTAGATCCTTGCATTGCTGAGAAAAGCTAAGTCTATCAAAGTTAGTCATTGCATAACGTGACTGTTACTGAGTACAATGTTATCCTGGTTCTGGTCACTTCACTCAGCATCAGACCATACAAGTCTTTCTAGGTTTTTCTGGTCTGTCTACTCATCATTTCTTGTAGCACAATAGTATTCCATTACATTCATATCCCACAACTTGTTCAGCCATTCCTCAATTCATGGGCATCCCCTCAGTTTCCAATTCTTTGCCACCACAGAAAGAACTGCTATAAATATTTTTGTACATATGGGTCCTGTTTCCATTTTTATGATCTCTTTGGGTTACAGCCCTAGAAGAGCTATTGCTGGGTCAAAGGGTATGCACATTTTATAGCCCTTTCAGCATAGTTCCAAATTGCTCTCCAAAATGGTTGGATTATTTCACAACTCCACCAATAGTGCATTAGTGTTCCAATTTTCCCACATCTCTCCAACATTTATCATTTTCCTGTTTTGTCATGTTAGCTAATCTGTAAGGTATGATGTGGTACCTCAGAGTCATTTTGATTTGTATTTCTCTAATCAGCAGTGCAAATCTAGTGTTCTTTACAATATATCTTGTTCAATAGGACTTTTTCTAGAAGTACATTTTGATATGGCAAATACCAGATTAGGGTTTACATAATAATAAGGTTTGCAAAACACTCTACACACCTTGCCTCATTTATAACAGGCACCATGGAAAGAGAGTTGAACTTGGAGGGAAATCAACCCCTTTCCATTTAGGAACATGCAGCTGAGTTCTGCATTTATCACTTACTAGCTGTGTGATCACAGGCAACTCACTTCACTGCTGAGGCCTGTTTCCTCATCTGTTCTCTTTTGGTTCTTCTCCTGCCTGTCTGACCATTGCTCAGGCTCCTTTGCAGGCTCTTCATTCATGTCTTGTTTACCAGACTTCCTCAAGTCTCTGTCCTATGTCTTCTCCTCTTTCTTCTTTATAATATCTCACTTGGTGATCTCCTCAGCTCCCAGAGGTTAATCATCTCTATGCAAATAATTCCCAGATCTATATATCTGACCCTAATCTCTCTCCTGAGTTTTAGTTCCACATCACCAACTGCTTTTTGGACATCTTGAACTAATTGTCCTGTAGACATCTCAAAATCAACATATCCAAAACAGAACTCATCTTTCCCTTCAAACCTTTAAGTCTTTCCATTATTAGGAAATATGACTTTGACATTGGATCCACATCCATAGAATAAGGAACTGTTATTCATAGCATTTGTAGCAACCAAAAGTAGTATATTTGTGGTTTTGCTTCTTGAGGTATTTCATTTGAATTGTGAGTGATAAAAATATCATATTCTGTATTCATTTGATATTTTGTAATTGCTGTAGTAATTACATAGCAAACAAGATAAATAGTGTTTAGTCAAAATTAGAGGAAACTTAGAAACTTTTGAAGTAATCCAAAGGATAAAAATGTGTTTACTTAATAAAAGCTAAGTAAATTATCCATACCTCTTAAACATATAATGATTGTTTGTCTGGAGATGTGTTAACTTGCCAGAGATCTTAGCTTACCTTAACTGACCTAAAATATGATTCATTTTCTGTTTGAGATGAAACCGAAAAAGTTATTTTAGTTGTACTTCCATATCTGTTTATCTGGAAGGAAATTATAAGTTTAGAGATAACTCATAGCATTAACTTGATAATATTGTTTGCATTACAGGTTGCCTTTATCCTATAGAATGTGCATCTTAAATATGTTCTGTTTTGAAATGCCTAAATTGGCCAGCTTTGAAGAACTATTTAAAGCCATTCAAAATCATAAGGGTTAAGCAAAATAAGCAGACTTTTCCTGTATGAAAAACTCATTTATTGACCTTCCTCCCCTTTCAAATATATTGAAGTATTGTTCTTGAAATCAAAATGTTCCACAAATACTTTTCTGTATATATTTTTTGGTTTATTTTGCTTTGTTCCTGTATGAAGTTACTTGGAAATTATACTACTAATAGCAATCTTTCAAAATATATTTACACCTGGATCAATTTGAATAGCATTAAACAGAAACAATTGGCTATTAAAAATGGACACTTTTTTTTAGTCATTTTTCTGTTGTGTCCAACTCTTCATGACCTCATTTGGGATTTTCTTGGCAAAGATAATGGAATGGTTTGCCATTTCATTCTCCAGCTCATTTTACAGATGAAGAACTGAGGCAAAAAAGGGTTAAGTGACATGCCCACTCAGGAAGATGAGTCTTTCTGACTGCAGGTCCAGTGTTCTATCCACTGTGCCACCTAGCTGCCTAACATGGGCATACCTATTTCCAAATGTGTAGTTTCCAGATAAAGGCAGTAGTAAACATGCCATCACTCACATCACAATCCTGTATCTATCTCTTCATCTTTTGGACTCAAATTGACTTGTCACAGGATTTACTTTTCTTGATCAAATCTGAGAAAAATCCATTTGACATCCTATTTAGTAGCTACTCCCCACAGTTTGTAGTAGGGAATATTCTTCCTGGTCTCATTAGAGTTCTAAAATGTAGTCATCAACTGAATCTACTTCAGTTGAAAAATCCAGCAAGCATTTCTTATCCTTTTATCCTTAACACATTTGTAGCCTGTTAAAGACTTCTCATCTCCTTGACTGGATGGATTTTGCATTCTAGCCAAAGTGGACTACTTGCCATTCAAAAATCTATTTCTCCTGTCTTAGCCTCTGTAATTCATGTAGTTGCCTCTCATATCTGGAGTACTTCTTTTGCATCCACCTTAAATTCAGTGCTGACCTTGGAGTAAGACAACTTCAATTTGAATCTTGCATCAGATACTTAGTAGCATGGTAACACCCAGAAAGTTATTTACTAATAGCCTCCATTTCTCCATCTGTAAAATGGGAATAATAGCATCCATGTCTTACAGTGATGAGCAACTCTTTTTAAAATGTTCTTCTTCCTTAATATTCTTCACTGTTCTTAAAACTTCAAGAAGCCTACTCCCCACTGTTGAGGAGTCAGTAACAACCACACCAGCTGCCATGTCCTCTTGAAGATCTTTGCTTGTTTTCTGAGGATTAATTAGCCTATTTTGTGGGAATCATTTGTTATTTATTGGAGTTATTTTTCATTTTTTGAGTGCTCTTCCCTTTGCACTTTGGTATAGCTGATTCTGTCTGTCACATTGTGGACTTGAATGATCCTTGAAGTGCCCCACACCAATGGTTGTTGCAGTATCTAAATCACTGAAGCATGCTCTTTGAGAACTATAGCTTTTGCATAATTCCTCAGTTATATCCAAAGCCACAGAATTTAAAATACAACAAAAGAAAGTAATGAAACACACACTTTGGTACAAAATTTAGTACTCAGCTAACAGACAACTAGCTAAAGGTGGGGAAATCATTTCAATTTGGTTTCATCTCATCAAGGTCAGATGTTCTAAGTCAGCCTGATTATTAGAGATACATAGGTATGACCATTATCCCAAAATGAAACATCAGAATTCGTGTTTATCCCAAGTAATATACACAGGGCTTTATGGAGCTTAATAAGTACTTATTAAATAAATAGATGTAAACTGATCCTCTGATTCCAAAGTAGATATTCTTTCTACAGAAATCCTCTACCTCCAGCATTTGAGCCAACTTCCCAAAATCTTTTGAAAAAAGTTATTTTAGAAACAGTGAGGCCAAAAAAAGTGATGTAGTAAATATATATTCCTTTAACTTTTCCTTTATAGGTGTGTTGAAGTAGTAAAAGCTTCTCAATATGTAGAACTTGCAAATGATTTGGAAATAAATAAAGCAATTACATATTTGAGACAAAAGGACTTCAACCAAGTAAGTTTTTGTAATATTATTAAAGGATATATTGCTTAAATGGAATATTACATAGAATAATGCTATTGCATACATTTAAAAGTAGAATATTTTGCTTTTGCTTTAATTAAAAATAATATGATTCATAATCATGTTTTTATCACTTCCTTTTAAATTTATACCCATTTCTCATCTTAAAATAAAAATTTCTTATCATAATAACTTTGTGCTACATGTGATGCTTTAAAAAATATAAAGAAATTAAAGCCAAAGTAAGAATTTCTAATTCCTTGACCATGGTTAATTTCCTTACAAGATGAGCAGTTCTCAAACTCTCAATGGTTTATCTGTGGGCTACTTTTTAAGTATTATGTTTTCAATAAGGCAATGCTTATGTTATTGTTTTTGGCATGAAACATTGAATAATATTATCAAAACCTTTTATTTGAATTACATTAAAAACTTTTTTTAGTACATTCACACACATAATGAAATTTTTTTTTAGTACATTCACATATATAATGTCATTTGATCATTATTTTACTAACATATCATTAAAACAATTTAGACTATTTCTGTTGAGATATTTTTTCTGGGGAACTTGAGTTGGGAAATTTGTTGGGATCGTACATCCTTCTGAAATAGTCTATAGACAAAAAAGTTTGAGAACTGTTATCTTGGTTGACAAAAATAACAAGTTTTTTGTCAATAAATCTTTATAATATTTCATTATTAAATGATATTTTCCTCTGGAAGATGTTTATGATTTAACTGTTAGGAAGATAATATATCATATTTTTCCTTGTTTCTTGGGATTAATTTAAATCAACATGACATCTGATGCCACTCTTAACTAAAATATCTATTTACATTATCAATGTCTTGATGTTAACAATAACTTTAATGGTGTTTTTCACTTGTCATTTTCACTTTCTCTTCAACATTGCTGCTTTTATTTGTCTCTTACTTTTTGTTTATGTCCTGTAAGTATGAAGAGGTAGGTATAATAAAATGTAGGTTTGAAAGGAACACTGTTAGGTTAAAGATAACCAAGATGATATTTGCAGTAGGCTCATAATAATTATTTAATGACCAGCATTAGTGTAGAGAGGATAAGATATGACTTGTGCTCTACGGATACTTCCATACTTAAAGAAGATGCTTCTGTCCAAGGAGTGAAGTTTTTTGTCATAATTATTTGTGGCTTTTTCTGAGCAATAGGGAAGAATGCTTTTGTCTAAAACCGGGCCAAAATAAGTAGGTCATGAAGGATTAAATGAATTGTAGAGGTCATTATTGGCCATTAGTAACAACTCACACAATTGAATACTGAAGGTGGGGTTATATAAATCCTGGGGGAAAAATTGAAACAGAGAATATAAATAGGCAACATATCTATGCTTATAATAGTAAAAAAAAAATCTTATTTTCTATTTCCCAAATGTTAGCCAATTATCATAGCATTTTATTTTAAAGTACTAATGTAATATTTTGTAAATAAGTATTCATTGGACACCAAAAGACCATTGTAAAAATATCCCTTTATGGAAAATCAAAATCTGAGCCAAAAAACTGACAGTGTTCTTTCCATTAACTTTAGTCTTTTTAGAATAGTTTGTTGTGTAGAATCTTAATTGTTCTGTCATTTTTCAGTTGTGTCTGATTCTTCATGACCCCATTTGGGATTTTCTTGGCAGAAATACTTTAGTGGTTTGCCATTTCCTTCTCCAGCTCATTTTACAGATGAGGAACCTGAGGCAAACAGGGTTAAGTGACTTGCTCAGCGTTACACAGCTAGTGTCTGAGGCTAGATTTGAACTCAGGCAGATGGTCTTCCTGACTTCAGACCCAGCACTCTATCCCCTGGGCCACCTATCTGCCCCTTAGAATCTTAATTGCATATGTCAAATTATGTTTCCATTATTTTTAAATCATTTTGTTTTTTAAAGGTCTGTATATACTATAGACTTATCTTTATAATATAGTATTTTGTTAAAATGTTTGTTTTAAGTAATTATTCTTATATTACTGACTTTCAAATGAGTTTTTGGATTTATAGTGTACTTTTTTTTAAGACAAGATGTATTTTATTTTGGTATGAATGCTTGTCTTATGGTTAGTATGTACTACACAGAAAAACACAAATTACAAGTTGATAAATGGTGCATTTTACTTGCCTGATCTGATTTAGAAAACTTCCTGGAATGGCTTGCTTATAGTATGACATACCATTGCTGTGCCATTTTGCATTTAGTTTTGTAGTTAGTTATGAGTATCATAAACTTTAGAGTACCACATTGCTTTTTCTTTACATTCTACCCTTTAGATTTCAGTAGGCATGAGTTATAATTATTTACATACTATGTGCACTTAAGTAATACATCTGTATGTGTTCATTATAAAACAGTACTAAAATGAAAAATTATGTATTTCAACCTACAGTCAAAGTAAAATGAAACTTATAAAGTTGAGAGATACAGGGAGGCTAAGATTCTCACATTAACAGTTGGGTGATTGTGTGTGGAGCCAGTGAGGTAGCTACTGCAGCATGAGCAACATGAACTAGGAGTGTTTGTGAGGTAGGTTGGAGAGATTCCTTGGCCTTCCACAGAAGGTTTCTCTATTCTACATAAGGAAGTAAGAAAGGTTCAGCAGCAAAGGAGTCATTCCAGGAAAATAAAGCACTCACAGAATCTAAGTTCTTCATTTCAGCAACAAACATTTAAAGCTTTAGGACAATATGCCTCAACCGTTTGATTTAAAATAATGTGAAACCTGTAGAGAGGGAAATTTTTAAACTAATGTTGACAAATATCCCTTATGTTATGAGGTTGTCCCACGATTCTACTGCATTATCTCTGACTTTGTCAACATGCTTAGTAAGCCTATTATTTGAACCCTGTCAAACATTGCTGCTGATAATATCTAATACGAACACTTTAAGTTTGCAAAGTAATTTATATACGTTATTTCATTTTATCTTCAAGGAAAAAAAACCTGTGAGGTAGGTATAACAGGTATCATTATCCATGTTTACAGGTGAAGAAACTGAGGCCCACAGAGGATAAGTGACTTGCCCATGCTTACTCAGCTAGTCCAGGGTGGGATTTCAATCCAGGTGTTCCTGTTCCCAGTTCCAGTACTCTATCCATAAAACCACTTTGCTTCTGTACATTACTTCTAATGACTTCAGTTAGCACACAATTCTCCCTTCTCCCCACCTGACTAAAATATGGTAACTAATTTGGGCTTTCAGTATGGACACAACTTCTCTTCTATATGGAAAGATACTAGGAGATAGGGACCTTCTACTGCTTTCAATATGTATTTGATGAATGAATGAATGAATCGTATGGTTCATAGATTTAGAGATAGGAGGGATCTTAGAGGCTGTCTAATCCAACTTTCTTGTTTTATAGAAGAAACTGAGGTCCAGAGAGGTCAAGTGAATTACCTGAGGTCTCTTTGATAGTATATATCAGTGCCAGGATTTGAATATAGGTCCTTTTTCTCCACATCTGTATCCTTTTCCCTCTCTTCCTCTACCAGAATGACTTTTCCCCTGTCTACCTCCTCTTTGTCTCTTCTACAGTTCCTGGCTCCAAGTATCTACCTACCATGCTAGATATCTGCCTACCATTTCTCACTTAAAGTTTGGTCAGGAGAATCCCACACATGGCATGTTGTTAAGTACATTTTTTTAACCTGGATTTTCTTTGGGTGGAATAAATATATAGTTACAAGGCAAACCTTGATTCATGGAAATTTCTACATTAAGGTCAATACCATGCTTTCCTAGGTACTCTAGTAGTGATACTTAAAAAGGAGAAAAAAGGGGCAGCTAGGTGGCGCAGTGGATAGAGCACCGACCCTGAAGTCAGGAGGACCTGAGTTCAAATGCGGACTTAGATCAAACAGTTGACATGTACTAGCTGTGTGACCTTGGGCAAGTCACTTAACCCCAATTGCCTTAAAAAAAAAAGATCCACGTACTTTGTACTAACTCGGATTGTATATCCAACCACATTTTTTTTAACATAAAAATTCTTTAAAAAATCATATGTATGTTAAAAATGTATAGTTAGTAAAATTATGCTTTGGTCTTTTTTGTATCAAGTCCATTTAGATGACAGCAATAACTTTTATGGATGAATAGTTCTCATAGCCATTTTTTATGCAAAATTATAGAACATACTCTAGCTCCTTTTCCCTCTAATTATATGTGAGGTTTTTAGTGACTAAGAAGCAGATCAAGACATCAGACCAGCTGGTATAAGGCAGCCTAATTAATTATTTAGAATCTTCAGTAAGGAATAAATTTGAACTTGAGAACTAAGGATAACAGACACCTTGGATTGACTGGTATCCACAAAATATTCAAAGACCCAGAAAAAACCTCCAGGGCAGAGGCTAGATCTTCAGTGGAAGATTTATATAAAACCTTGGATAAGAATTTCATTGGATGACAAGGATTGGATGGGTAGCGTTGGTAGAGCAAGTACCCACATTGATGATGTCATGATGATGTCATGAATTCATCAAAACAGCAGAACCACATTCTAGGATTTTCTAAGTAAACCATCTACAAAAAAAACTATAATTTTGTTTCCTTTTTATTCACATAAAGGCTTCTTAGTGGTTAAGTATTTGCCCATACTCGTATCTAGTTACTTTCTGCAATAAAATTCAAATCCAAATCTCTTACATCTGAATCTCTAGCTCTTTCCATTCATTAAACCGTTGGATAATCATCCAGCTTTGGTTTGAAGATCTCCAGTGATAGGGAACTCACTATGTTCTGAGGCATTTTTGGATAGCTCTATTTGTTAGGAAATTGTTTTCTTTAAAAAGCCTAAATCTACTTCTTTTCACCTTCCACCAATTGCTCCTCGATCTGTCCCCCGGGTCAAAGAGAACAATTCCAACCATTCTTCTTGATAGCCCCTCATAATTTGAATACAACTATCATAGAACTCCTAAGTCTTTTTTTTCTTCAGACAGCTATCCCCAATTTTAGATGAGGTGCTATGTCAAACTGTGGAGTGCAGATTTGTGGTAAAAAGACCTGGGTTCAAATTCTGGCAGTGTTCCTTAATACCTGTGAGACCTCAGGCAACTTGCTTACCTCTCAGGACTTAGTTCCTCATCTATAAACCAAGGCACTTGGACTGTATGACTTATAAGATCTCTTCCAGATCTAAATCTATGAGCCATATAATTTATTCATGCATCCAGGCTAGATGCATCCAGGCTGGAATGATGGGCTAAATTTAACAAAGTGAAATTTATTATGGGTAAGTGACAGGAAGAGAAGGGAGATAGCTAGACCTCAACTTGGTGATTCTAGTTGATTATGGGGTGTACATGAATCAATAGTGTGTTATGTCTGCCAAAAAAAGATAACGTAATCTTAGGTTGAATTGTCTCATTGTATTCCATGTTGGCCAGACTACACTTGGAGAATTCTGCCAAGAAGGGAGGGAGATGCATTTTCTCCTCTCTTCTTTATGGCCAAGTTTCATCATCATAATTACACAGCATTAAATGGTTTCTTGCTGTTGTATTCTTTGACCTTAACAGTGTTACAGTCATGTACATTGTTTTCCTGGTTCTGTTTACTTTGCCTCAGTTCATATGTGTCTTCCCATACTTCTGTATTCATCATTTCCTATGGGGCAGTTAACATCATATTCCATTAATATGCCATCATTTAAATTTTTTAGACTTTTTATTTAAAGCTTAAGTACCGAAAAAAATTAGCTTTCTGGAAAGGTCTTATGTATTTATTTTAGTACTTATTATTGATACTACAAATAAAAATTACCTCAATATCGATTTTGTTCATTTTTAAAGAAATAGTTCTAGATTGTCTCATATATAACTTGTAAATGCTTCACTTCTAGGCTGTAGAAACTTTAAAAATGTTTGAAAAAAAAGACAGTCGAGTTAAAAGTGCAGCTGCAACCAACCTTTCATTCCTTTATTACTTGGTAAGTTTTTCTTTTATAATTAACTATAATTTGTCAAGGAAAACTACTAATACTATACCTTACTATACCTTGTGTTTTATGTGTAAATCTGTCAGAAACACATAGTTTCACATTAATATCCGAGCTATTTCTGGCTTAGTTCCAAAACTGGCCTAGTTCCTGTATACCCTCCAACATGACTCTACCCCAAAATAATTTGAGGTAGCATTTATGGGAATCTTGAATGAGGGAAATGTTAAATTGTGTTAAACTATAGTTTGGGATTAACATTCCACAAGAATTGTCACTATTCTCTTCCTTCTTGGACTACTCCCTTTAAGTGTTCTAGAATAAAGAAGGGACCTTAGTCATTTCTCCGAGGAGAAATCAATTCTTTTCTCAAAATAGAAGTCCTTAGTTTCTGGGGAATCAGTAAGAAGACTGCCCTTAGATGTGTAAAATGCTGTAACAAGTGATAACTCTTTGTTAAGGCTTGAGTTTCCATTGTTAATCCATTCATTATGAAAGACTTTTTTTGTCTTCTACCTACCTACCTAACTTCTGCCTATTTGTATTCTACCTTTAAACTGGGAAGGCTGATTTGTTTGTTTTTTTAAGACCAGAGAAATATTATTTCTTAATATTTTCGATTCTGCTAAAAATGAGGGATTTTTTTTAGTGTGTTTCCACAGATTGATCATGCAGTATTTTTTATATTGCTAAACTCATACCTTTGTGTACAAGAATTGTGAGAATGCTTCTACAAAGAATTGGAAAAGGTATAAACGAATTGAGATTCAGGGAGGCGTCAGGTTAATTACAGGTGAACAGAAATGCTTTAGTATATGTAGATCATCATACATAATAAGTTTTATTGAATATGTGTAAGGTACTATGTAAGATATTAGGAATACAAAGAAGAATATAAATCACATGTTAAGGAGGTGATAGTCTAGTTTGGGAGCTAGGACATATTCATAAAAAGATAAATTTAGTACAAGGTAACATAAGTACCAAATGAAGGTAAGGTGGTAATTGATACCATAGTTAAGAGGAAAGTGAATTATCTCACATAAAAGAGGCAAGAAAAGTTTTTACAGTAGAGAGGAAGAGGGGAGAGGTGAGAGGGAATGAGTGAACCTTACTCTCATCGGATTTGGCTTAAGGAAGGAATAACATACACACTCAGTTGGGTATGGAAATCTATCTTACCCTACAGGAAAATAGTGAAGAAGGGGATAAGAGAGGGGGTGGTGGTAGTAGGGAGGGCAGATTGAGGAAGGGGGTAATCAGAAGCAAACACTTTTGAGGAGGGACAGGGTCAAAGGAGGGAATAGAATAAATGGGGGGGGCAGGATAGCATAAAGGAAAATATAGTTAGTCTTTTACAACATGACTTATGGCAGTGTTTTGCATGACTGCACATGTGTAACCTATATTGAATTGCTTGCCTTCTCAATGAGTGTGGGTGGGGAGGGAGGAAGGGAGAGAATTTGGAACTCAAAGTTTTAAAAATAAATGTTAAAAATTATTTTTACATGTAACTGGGAAATAAGACACACAGGCAATGGGGTATGGAAATCTATCTTACCTACAGAAAAGTAGAAGGGGAAGGGGATAAGAGAAGGTGGGGTGGTGATAGAAGGGAGGGCAAATTGGGGGATGGAGTAATCAGAATGCACACCATCATGGGATGGGGGGGAAGGGGAGAGATGGGGAGAAAATTTAGAACTCAAAATCTTGTAGAAGTGAATGTTGAAAACTAAAAATAAATAAATAGAAAAAACAAACTCTCCAGGGGGGGGGAAAAAAAAGGAAAAAAGGAAAGTGAATTGGCTTCAGAGTCAGATTACCTAGGTTCAAATCTCACCTCTAACACTTAGCTATCTTTGTGGCCTTAGGCAAGTAGTTTAACCTCCCTGAGTCTCTCTTCTCTCATTTGTAAAATGAATTGGTTAGACTACCAGGAGTGGAGAACCTCTAGGTACTCAAGTGCAGCCCTTTGACTGAATCCAAACTTCACAGAACAAATCCCCTTAATAAAAGGCCAATCTCTGAGGTACCTTTATTCTGAAATCTATGGTCCTATGAAAAGTAGGATACTATAGGCTGAGACAGTTAAGGAAGAGGCTCACAGGAAGAATTAGAACTAGGCCTACAGGGATAGGTAGGATTTAAATCATCTCAAGGGAGCAAGGAGGGTAATCTAGACAGGGGCAGATGGTATGAGCAAGAAGACAATAAAAGAATGTACTTGGCATGTTCAGGGGACAGGGATTATGTCATTTTGACTAGTGTTGAGGATTCCTGTAGGGGAATAATGGGGGGCTAGATTGGAGAATTAAAGTAGGACCCAGTCATCCAGTTAACAAACATTTATTGAGCATTTCACTATGTATAGAATACTGAGGCAGGTGCTGGGGAAAATATTTTTTAGATAAGACACCATCTCTACCTTCAAAGACTTTATAGTCTAGATAATAGAAGGCCTTGAATATTAGGCTAAGAAGTTTTAATTCATTCTGCATATATGACCTCAAAATCAATTGAAAGTTTTTGAGCAGAAAAATGATGTAATAATAATAACAATAACTAACATTATTATATAGCACTTTAAGTTTTATGAGGAACTTTCCATATATCATCTCATTTGCACGTCAAAACAACCCCATAATAGAGATGATAATATTATCCCCATTTTACAACTAAGGAAATTGAGGCTAAGGAGACTGAGGAGGAATGGTAAGACAGGTAGGAGGATAACCTATCTGAAAATTCAAGTGTCATTGAAAACCCAGAAGGGACTGAATAATAAAGAATCGAGGTCAAGAAGGATGAGAGTTTAGAAAAGGCCATTAGATTTGGCGGCTGCTGCTGCTGCTGCTTGCCCTTCATTCTTGAAGAGGACCATTATCCAGGGAGGTGATGCCAGAAACTGGATTCCAAAGGACTGAGAAGTGAGTGAGAGGAGAGTAGGTGGAAGGAACAGCTATAGATAGGGAGAGATTGAAGATGAAAAAGAGGAATGCTTGTGGGGACAATTTGCTGGAGGAGGGGAAGGTGATGAGATCAAATGTACATGTAGAGTAGTTGACCTTGTCAATGGGAAGGGTCTCCTCTTCATCAGAGGTTAGAATAAAAGAGGAAAGAAAAAATAATGATATCAAGGAGTTTTTAAATGCAATGGAAGGGAGAAGGGGAAGCTCTCAGTGAAAGATCTCTATTTTCCCATTGAAGTTTGAGGTGAAGTCTTCAGTTGAGAGGCCGGGGATTGTGTGAGAGGTCTGAGAAGATTTGGAACCACATCTATGCTGAATGGATTGGAGAATCAATTAAGGAGGACTAAAAAAGACTTTCTTGCTTTTATGAGGACCAAACTGAGATTAGATGACATAAATGTGTAGTGTACCCAGTTAGCTCCTTTGAGTGATTTCCTTTAGACCCAGAGGAGAAGGCTAGTGGGAGTCATTGATATTTGGCAAAGTTAAGAGAGAGAAGTGGATTCAAGAGCAGAGGACACTGGATATTTGAACTGCCTAACTAAAAGAAAGGATTGATTCAAGATGTCAGAGTAGGAGGATCACTGAGAACCTTTGTTATACACTCCACAAAAAAAAACAATAAAATAAACAATAAATGATAAATAATAAACAATTTTTAAAAATAGAAATGCCAGACGGTAGAGAAATGGCTAAAAGCACACATGAAAGCAACAGTCAAAGTTTTGAAACAAGCAATAGAAAGTGCTGATAACATTCACAAATACTATAGAGCAGCTGAATCAGCTAAAATAGCAAAAATGAGATACCCAAAACAAAACCCTATGAGTTATATCCATAGATATTCTCAAATAGTTAATATATTCAGAGACATTAAAAAAGAATCATCAATGCCAATATCAAAAGATCAAATAAAAAATCTTGAAGAAAGCTTAAGAATACATGTGTAGAAATTAAGTGAAAATTGAAAAAAATACAAAGGAATAAAAGGAAAAAGTTGACAAAATTAACAATATGGTGAGTACAATATAAAGAAAAATAACTTCAAAAAATCTGTAGTAGTAATGAATAGCAGACTTACTGCAGTGTTGCACACAATACAAAGAATTGCTGCTGGACATATAGTGCTCTCCCAGTCCCCCCCAAAAAGACACTGAATTTTCCTAAGCTATTAGAAAATAGTGTTATCTGTCAAGCCATAGATATGGAGGACAAACCACAGTGAAGCAATTTCAGTAGTATTAAAAATCCTAGAGAACAGAGAAAAACCAAATAATCTGAACCTCCCATTTCAAGAAAACACATTATTAAGAAACAGCATGACAATAAATTTTCTGAAAAGGACAGGGGAGAATAAAAGAAACTAAAATATAGCATTTATGAAAATTACATTGGATGAACCACGAACTTAACATTTGTCTGCCTAGAAATAATAAACATGTTGTATGAAGATGGCTATTTAAGAAGCAAATAGTTTTTTTTTTTAAAGTTGTCAGAGGGGACATTGATTTCAAGCCATTTTTTGACCAACAAGCAATCTTTCTATGCCTGAAAAATAAATATCTAAATCTACCAAGAGGAAATAGTTGCTAACAAAACATGAGAACATTTTAGAGCATTACATGAGCTAAATCACTAAAGGATTCAGAAGGGTATTTTAGATAAATAGAAAGGGGGGGAATCCTCAATAGATAAAATATGAGCACAATATATACTGGCATTTATAGTAGTATTAATTTTTATAGTAAACTTTAGATCCTGCTTTTTAATCCAACATTATGCCACTCACTGGAAGCACATTTAATCCATAAAGATTTAACACATTTAATCCATGAAGATTTAAAGTGAAAAGCTTATCTAAAGTTTACCATGCTACTTCCAAGTCTGAAACAGGGGAATGACATAATCTAACCCATTATTAATTTTAATCTAACCCATCTAGCATAGGTTGTATGTTGCACTTTACAGAGGAGAGAATGATTGGAGAGATGAAGCAATTCGTCCAAGGCCACAGGGTTTGAAATGTAAGGAGTAGGCTCTTTTAGCTGGAACAAAAACATTCTACACCTTAAAAGGAGCTGAGGCTTGAATCACTCATCTGTCATTCAGTGACTGGTCTGTAATTTACAGTCTTAGGGAATTGCCTGGACTCTCCAATATGTGTCAAAAGTAATACTTGAACCTACGTCTTCCTGACTTCACATGCCCAAAGGTGCCCATTGGGCTTTTCCAGCTAGCTGTTTCAGAGGCATATGAAGCTCAACTTGCTCAAAATAATCCATTATTTCTTCCCCCAGTTTCCTCTTCCTAACTTCCTCTTCCCTTCTGTTGAGGACACTCTCTCTCAATCTCTGTATCTAATCAGTTACTTGTTATACTTATAAAAGATCTCTTAGGTAGGTCTCCTTCTCTCTACTTACCCAGAACCTACTCTACATCAGTCCCTTATTACCACTCAGCTATTATAATAGCCTTCTACTTGATCTTCCTGATCTAATCTCTCCAATCTATCCATCACAGTAAAAAACAAAATAATTCTCCTAGTTCATGGATCTAACTATGTCACCCCTCCATTCAAACACCTTCAGTACCTCCCTATTCCGTCTTGGATAAAATAGCCTGACCTATAATCTGTCAACATCCTACTTTTCCAGCGTTATTTTACTCCCATTCATACACTCTGCATTCTAGCCCAACAGAACCCCTAACTTGATGCCTCCAACTCCTAACCTTTTTGTCTCCGCGTTTGCAAACACTCTCCTCTAGCTTCTTCCCTGGAATGTGTTTGCCTTCAAATTCAAACGTGCCCTTCTTCCTCAAGTATTCCTGTAGCACTTTAGACCCTTTAATTTCTCCCTCATCACTCTCTACCTTATATTATACTTGCTTGTAAACATGTCCCACACCTTTCCTTTCCCGGGAAGATGTAGGTTCCTTGAAGAAAGGGACTTGCGTTTTTCTTTTTCGTGTCCTTATTGCCTGTACATAGTAGGTGGGTCTTTAACAAATATTTTTTATTGAATTAACAGTTAAAATCTGATTTTTATAGAAACAAGGAATTTGAGTATTTTGAGGGGGAAATGGTTGAGAGAGGGCATGAAAGAAATTTATGGTGGTGATGTGAAGAATGGAATGAAGCAAAGATAGGCTGTGTGTTGGCCACATAAATGATTCCTAGGCCTTGGTCAAAGAATTTGGCAAGTGGATAGTGAGGTAGAGAATACACCTGCTTATTAGAGTAAGAAGAACTGGTATAATTTGTTTACCAACTTGATCTGGAGAATGCCAGTATGGTGAAATAATAAATGGCTAGAAATTTGAACAATAGGAAAGAAGTCATCTACATATAAATTATGTTATACCTAAAACCATGAAAGCCTCAGTAAGCTGTTTCCAAGGGAAGAGTTTCTTAAATATTTAATATTTTTTAATATTTTAAATATTGGTAAAAATAGATTCTAATTAGGGCTGTAGATTGATATCTTTGAAAAATGGAGTTATTAAGAATAATAAATGTAAATAGGTCATCATGGTTATAGGTATCATTATATCTGAAAAGGATAAATAGGTTTTTGTGAAAATTAAAATTATAGGGGCAGCTAGGTGGCGCAGTGACCTGGAGTCAGGAGGACTTCAGTTCAAATGAGACCTCGGATACATAACACTCCACTAGCTGTGTGACTCTGGGCAAGTTGCTTAACCCCAACTGCCTCACCCCCCCCTCAAAAAAAAGAAAATTACAATTATATATGATTGTACATGAATAACTTATATCAGATTGCGTGCCATCTTGGGGAGGGGCGAAGAGAGGGAGGGAGAAGAAAATTTGGAATTCAAAATCTTGTAAAAGTGAATGTTGAAAACTATGTTTGCATGTAATTGGAAAAAATAAAATATTAAGTGAGGAAAAAAAGAAAATTAAAATTATGTACTCTTTATATTTTATTTAGGAGAATGAATTTGCCAAAGCCAATAGCTATGCAGATTTAGCTGTGAACTCTGATAGATACAATCCATCGGCTCTCACTAATAAAGGAAATACTGTTTTTGCAAGTGGAGATTATGAGAAAGCAGCAGAATTTTATAAAGAAGCTCTGAGAAATGACTCTTCTTGTACTGAAGCACTTTATAATATTGGTAAGTGTAACAAGTTGAAAACTCCCATTAATCAGACTATCTGGGTAAGGTAGACTAGAGTAGTGGTGTCAAACTTAAATAGAGACCAATCTCTGCAGACTACATATTGACTTAAAATATCATAAATTAATATCATTTGGTGTTGTACTATATTTTTATTTATTTTGTTAAATATTTTCTAATTTTATTTTAATGTGGTTGGGATGGTGGGTGGCCTGGGATTTAACACTTCTTGGCTACAAAGGGAACCACAAAGGCAGCTATAGCCTTCTCTGATGAAGCACTCAATGAGCCTGAGAATTAGAATTACTTTACTAAGAAAAAGGGCCCTATTGTTGCCTAGAATTCAGGACTGGAATTGATGGTTGCATCTGAAATACAATGTGAACACAAGGGAGAATTCAGCATAAGTTTATCTACATCCTGATTCCAAGAATGGCATTTTATTTATTTATCCTTTTAAGGGTTTTTTTTTTTAATTTGTTTTAGACTAACAGACACCAAGTAAAATAAACATTTCTATTTACAAAGTAGTAAAGAAAAAGAGAGTTACTATTAAACTACTAATCTCTTTTACATAGAGCTTGCTTTTCCTTTTAAGTATATAATAAATTTGACAGATAATTTCCAAAGCTGTGCTGACTGTGTTTTCTTTTAGTCTTTCTTCCACTCTTTTGTGCATTTTTTAAAAAATGCCTTAATGCCTCTTTTCTTTCTTTGTCTTTTTTAAAGGACGCAACTCTGTTGCTACCAGCTTCTCCCTCTTGTCCACCTGCAATGGGAAAAACAACCCTTGTAACAAAAATGCATGGTCAAGCAAAACAAATTCCCACACTGGCCTTGTCTGAAAATATACATTTCATTCTGTGCCTCAAATCCATTACCTGTGTCAGGAAGTAGATAGCATGCTTCTTCATCAGTGCTTGAATTATAGTTAGTCATTGCATTGATCAGAAGTCTTAAATCTTTCAAAGTTGTTTTTCTTTACAACATTGTTGTTATTGTATAAATTGTTTTCCTGGTTTTACTCACATCACTCTGTATCAGTTCACACAAGCCTTTCTGGATTTCTCTGAAATTGTCCCTTTCGTGATTTCTTGTGGCATAATATTCTATTACATTCTTTATGGCATAATATTCTGTTACATTCATATGCCATAATTTGTTCCATCCTTTCCCAATTGATGGTCATCCCCTTAGTTTTTATCTCTTTGCTGTTAGAAAGAGCTGCTGTAAGTATTTTTTATTCCTCTTTCTTTAAATCTCTCTCTGGCAGAGGGCTAGTAGTGGCATTGCAAGGTCAAAGGATATGCATTATTTAAGTAAGTTTTGGGGCAAAGTTCCAAGTTACTTTCCAGAATGGCCAGGCCAGTTCACTACTCCATCAATGTTTCATTCAAATGGTTCAACATCAGAAAGTGATATGATTTTATCAGTGTAATAATATTAAAGAAAAGGCATTACCATCTGCATTCCTGTTGTACCCTAAGGACCATGCATCTTTCCATCTGACTTCCAGTTTGAGACCTTCTTGTTGTCTCCCTGTTAGAATGTGAGTTCCTTAAGAGCAGAGCGTGTCTTTTCTATTTTGATCCCCCATAGTTAGCACAGTCATCACTATATTTAGCATATAGTTAGTGCTTAATATTTCATTCATTCATGTGTTTGTTTTCCCATAGATCCTCCATTAATTGTGATTTTTCATTTTTGTCATCTTTGCCAGTTCATTGTGTAAGGTAGAACCTCAGAGTTGTTTTAATTTGCATTTTCCGGATTATTAGTGATTTGGAACATTTTTTTAATATGTTTATAGGAGCCTTAGATTTCTTGCCCTGACAATGACCTTTTCATATCCTTTGACCATTTATGTATTGGGGAATGGGTTTTATTAATAGATTTAAATCAGTTCCTGATATGTCTTAGTTATGAAATCTTTATCAGAAATTTAAGATTTTTTTCTCAGTTAACTTTTTTCTCCTTCAATTTTAACTGCAGTAGTTTCATTTGTACAAAAACTTTTAAATTTTATATAATTACAATTGTCCATTTTATCTTCTGTAATCTTTTTTTCTCCCTTGTTTGGTCATGAACTCTTCCCCTATCCATAGTTGCCGAAAGTATTTCATTCCTTGTTCCTCTAATTTGTTTATGATGTAACCTTGTATATTTTAGTCATGTTTCCATTTGGAGCTTATCTTATGATATAGTATTACATGTTGATCTAAATTTAACTTCTGCCAGATTGCTTTACAGTTTCTCCAACAGTTTTTCATGGAATAGTGAATCCTTACCCCAGTATATAGGGTCCTTGGATTTATCAAATACTATGCTACTATGTTTGCTTCTACATGTTGTATACTTAATCTGTTCCACTGATTGACCTCTTTGGTTTTTAACCAATACCAAGTAGTTTTGAGAATTATAATGGCTATTTGGTGATATAGTTTCAAATCTGATATAGCTAGGTTGTATTCCACACCCACTTCCTCTTTTATTATTTTCTTTGAGGTTCTCAACTTTTCATTCCTCTAAATGAATTTTTAAAATTACTTTTTCTGGTGCTAATAGTGTAATCCTTTTGGTTTGGTTGGTGTAACACTGAATAAGTAAATTAGTTTAGGTAGTATTGTCATTTTTATTATTTTGGAATGGCCTGCCCATGAGAAATTAATATTTCTCCAATTATTTTGGTCTATTTTTTTCTATGAAGCAGGAGTTCTTAACCTTTGTGTCATGGACCCTTTGGACAATCTGCTGAAACCTGTGGATCTCTTATCAGAATAATAATAATTTTAAATTAATAAAGTAATATTTATAGATTTACAAATGAAACCAATTTTATCGAAATCTCAAAAATTTTTTTAAGTTCACAGACCTCAGGTTAAGAACCCCTGATATAAAGAGTGTTTTGTAGTTTTAGTCCCATACTTCGAGTGTGTTTTGGTAGGTAGGCTACTAAATATACATCGTATAGTGATTTTGAATGGAATTTCTCTTTCTCTTCCTACTGGGTTTTGTTGGTAATAAAAAGAAATGCTGATCACTTTATGTAGGTTTATTTTGTATTCCACAACTTTGCTGAAGTTAGTGTTTCAACTAATTTCTAGTTGGTTTTTTTAGGGTACTTCAGGGAGACTGTCATATTATCTGAAAAAATAAATGTCAGTTTTGTTTCTACTTTGCCTAAGTTTATTCTCTCAACTTGTTTTTCCTGTCTTATTACTAGACCTAGCATTTTCAGAATTACATTACACATGTATCAAATAATAGTGGTGGTAATAGACATCATTCCTTGACCCCTGATCTTACTGGAAAGGTCCCTAGAGAATGCTCCATTACATGTATTGTTGGCTCTAGACTTTAGGTAGATACCATATAAAGGAAGGGGCCATGTAGTCCTTTTTCTGTTTTTAATAGAAATAGGTATTCAATTTTATCAAAAGTCTTTTTAGCATTGATTTATGCATTGTGATTTTTTTTGTTATTTTCATTATTTATACAGTCTGTTATGTTTATAATTCTCTTAACATAGACCCAACCCTATATCCCTGACATAAATCCTACCTGGTCAGAATGTACTAAAAATTTTTAAATATATTGTGTAGCCTCTTTGCTAATATTTCATTTATTATTTTTCATTAACACCATCAGTTTTTCATCAACATTCATTAGGGATATTGGTCTATTTTTTTTCTCACTTTGCTTTATATTTCCCTGGTTTGGGTACCAAACTATATCTGCATCATAGAAGGAGTTTGCTAAGATTTTTTCCATTTTCTTTTTGGTAAACAGTTTAACATTGAAATTAATTGTCCTTTGAATGTTTGATAGAATTCATCTGTAAATCCATCCAGTCGTGGGCTTTATTTCTCTTTGAGTAAATTTATAGCTTGTTCAGTTTCATTTTCTGATTTAGGGTTCTCTAAATAATCTATTTCTTCTGTTAATCAAGGTACTTTATATTATTGTAGATATTCATCCATTTCATCTAAGGCAGGTGTCAGCAAACTTTGGCTCGAGCGTCCAATCTGGCCCTCTACCTGTGAGCGAAGATACAATAAGTCTTTATTTTAAAATATAAAAACTATTCTTTTATTATTATTATTTGTCTCCTTAATACTATTTTATCAATTACATGTAAAGACAGTTTTCAACATACATTTTTGTAAAATTTTGAGTTCCAAATTTTTCTCCCTTCCTCCCCCTTCCCCAAGAAATCAAGCAGTCTGATATAGGTTATACATTTACATTCATGTTAATCAGATTTCCACATTAGTCATGTTGTGAAAGAAGAATCAGAACAAAAGGGAAAAACCATGAGAAAGAAAAAACAAAAAAAAGGGAAAATAGTATGCTTCGATCTGCATTCAGACTCCATAGTTCTTTCTGTAGATGTGGTTAGCATTTTCCATCACAAGCCTTTTGGAATTGTCTTGGAACTGAGAAGAGCTAACTCTGTTACAGTTAATCATCACACAATGTTGCTGTTTCTGTGTACAATGTTCTCCTGAATCAAAGGGTATACATACGTACATACATAGTTTGGTTGCCTTTTGGCAACTTAGACTATGAAGAGTCATGGAAATTGATATTCAATCCTAGTTGCAAGAGGGAGTCTCTGGAGTTTATTGAGCATCTAATCAATGCGTGGCATGATTAGATCTGCATTTTAGGAAGATCATTTTAGCAGCTATGTTATTGACAGTAGATGGGAGAGAGGAGAAATTTGAGTCAGAGAGACCATTTTGGAGGTTCAATGATTTCCGAGGGTCACATGGTAAGTTAATAGATTCCTTAGGCTTGGAGTATTTCTAGTTATTATTGTTAGACTCTTAGACATTGCCATACTGTGATTTCATATCTAGTTTCTTGAGGAGTTCATTCAGTGTCAGCCTAAAGTCTTCCTAGACATCAGGCAATAAGATCAGCAGTAGTTATGTCCTAAACAGTCTATCAGCATTGAAATGGTTTTCATTACATTTTAACTCAGCTTTGATGAACTTGTACAGAAATTGGATAATAAGAGGCTACTCACCTGGCTTTTGAATCATCAGCTCAAGGGGAAAACTGAAATAAAAGAAGCAAAAGAACCCTTTTATGGGTGCTTTAGTGGGTATTTAGAACATACAACTTAAATATAGGATGGGTGTGAAACTGCTGGTGAACAGTAACATTGTATTTCAACCTGAAATACAACCATTCAGAATGATGTAACTCAGGGGCAGCTAGGTGGCACAGTAGATAGAGCTCTTGAAGTCAGGAGGACCTGAATTCAAATCCGGCCTCAGACCAAATACTTTACACTTACTAGCTGTGTGACCCTGGGCAAGTCACTTAACCCCAATTGCCTAATTAAAAAAAATGCAGAATGATGTAACTGAACAAAAGAACAGGGGTGACAACAAAAACCAATTTTCAAGTTTGTTCAGGGAGAAAGAAACCATCATGTGTCTGTCTTGTCAGCTGTACCTTATATACAGAAATAGTCATCACCATTAGTAATGCAAATAGGAATACTGAATGTATATATGAATATATATTGAATATATATGCTGATTATATGTATGTATGTGTATATTAGTTGTTTAGTCATTTTTCAGTCATGTCTGACTATTTGTAACCACTTTTGGAGTTTTCTTGGCAAAGATACTGGAGTAGTTTGCCATTTCCTTCTCCAGCCCATTTTACAGATGAGGAAACTGAGGCAAACAGGGTTACGTGACTTGTCCAGGGTCACACAGCTAGTCAGTGTCTGAGGCTGGATTTGAACTCAGGAAGATGAGTGTTCCTGACTTCAGGGCCCAACACTATATCTAATGAACCATCTAGGTTGCACTACCTCTTATACACACACACACGTATGTGTGTACATGTGTATATGTATGTATGTATTTGAAAGTTGTCTGTATTGTAATTTATAAGTTTTAAACAAGCTAATTACTTATTGACATTATTTAATTTCATGCTTTTTTTTTTTTTATTTTTAGGTTTAACATATAAGAAGCTAAACCGCCTAGATGAGGCTTTGGATTGTTTCCTGAAACTTCATGCAATCCTACGGAACAGTGCCCAAGTTCTTTACCAAATAGCAAATGTGTATCTTATATAAGAAAATCAAGGGAGATGCTTAATTCAAATGGTGTTAGTTTAACTGAGTTGATGCTATGATGAAGTAAGTGATAGTTATAATGTACAAGGTATTCATAATTTTTAAGACAGGTTTAAAAATAGTAGAACAGATACTATTTGAGATATAACCAGTTCCCTAGAAGTAAATCAGACACTTTTGGAAACCCCAGTTACTCTTCATGGTCTCTGAGATATTATTTAGTAACTGAAATGATAACTTATTTAGTGCTATATAAATGCTAGCTATTGCTATAATTATTATCATAAAGATTGTTTGGGCAGTGTATTTTAAACTATTATGATAACTGATTAAAATATTCCCTGGTAGCTAAATATTAAAGCTTCTCTTTAATTTTTTTTCTCAAAAGATGAGGTCATACCTTGAGAATTAATTTATTCATTATTTCATTAAATATTTATTGAATATCAGTTATGTGCAATGTGCTATACTATGCTAGTCACCCTGACAGATACAAACAAAAGCATTCCTATTCTCATATGAATTTTGTCCATAACCCTTAGCTTTCTTAAAAGTTTTCTTCCTGTGGTTGGGAAAAACATCATTTGATCTTAATCCTTTTAAGCTCTTTGGAATACATTTACATCTGCCTCCTAACTTAAAAAGGCAATAAATAACAATAAACTTATACAAGGTTACAGAATTCACATAAGTTTACACAAATGTATGGTGCCATAAATTTTGTGTAAATATTCAGATATAAACATAGGATATAAGTACATAAGTAAGGTAGGATTAAAAATAACCAGTCTTGCTACATTTTATGCTTGATTTTGTCCAAAAATAAAATCTGTTTCAAATATATGATTCTTGTTTTCCCTTTTCCGTATCCTTTTCTAATGATTTTGTTTTCTTTTTTGTTCATATTATTTGTACATCCTCAGTGGTCAGTTCATAATCACTCTAATTACCTGTTCAGAAATTTAAGATACCATTTAGGATTTTTTTAAACTCTCCTCTTATATTCTAAATTTGGCATATAATGAAAAATCTGTGATCACTGAAGTACAGGGCACCTCTTTCTAATGTTTTGGTTTTGTGTAGGCATGTATAAAAATGAAATTCAAAAAGGAACATATATTAAGTACCCAAATGGCTTGTACTGTAATAGACACCGGGGAGATACAGAAGAATTAAAATACGTGGTCTCTAACCACTTGAGGAGCTAAATGAGGAAAAACATAGATGAGATTATCATAGGAATGCTCAATTTACATGCTGAAGGAAATAAAAACAATTTGTTGATTGAAGGGGATTATTCAGGGAAAGGCTTTGTGAAGGAAGGGAGTTTAAATAACATACTACTACAGATTTTTAAAAATACTTTTGTGGGGGCAGCTAGGTGGTGCAGTGGATAGACAACTGGCCCTGGATTCAGGAGTCTCTGAGTTCAAATCCAGCCTCAGACACATAACACTTACTAGCTGTGTGATCCTGGGCAAGTCACTTAACCCCATTGCCCAACCAAAAAAAAAAACCAAAAAATTTTTTTTGTGAAATGTTGCTGTTATAGTATGTTCATTAATTGAATTTAGTCTATGAATCACCAAGCATTTATTATCCTTAACTAAAATTACTGAAGATATGAAATAATGGAAGATCCTAACCAGTCGATTGAGTGGTTGATGCAGTTGATCAGCTTGGTTCCAACTGATTCTCGTGCCTTATCTAAACTAGGAGAACTATATGATAATGAAGGCGATAAATCCCAAGCTTTTCAGTATTACTATGAGGTACCTATACCATTTTTACTGGTGTTTAAAGGTATTTTATAGAATTTATAAGAATAAAGTTATAAAGAAGGCATAATTAGTAAATTTAGGAAATGTTTAAAGTACATTTTAAAAGTAACTTTGATTTCTTATACATTAGAATTTTGGAAAAAGTTCTGTTTACAGACAAATTTTAATGAGAAGGAAGTACAATTTATAGGACAAACTCATTTTTGTCTTGAAGCATGATTTTCCCATCTTGTTTATCACTCATTGTTCTTTTTATTCTATTAAAAGTAATATTTGGATTTGGGTTGTATGTTCTTTTGTTCTTTTGAAACAATACAATTCATTGCATTAAAGTGATTTATGTAATTGAAAATATGACAGTTTCACTTCAGTTAACTCTTTTAAAAATCAGTTTTGCAATTCCCAAACTTGCAGAATGTACTCTATGAGTTAGTATATAAATAAACTGCTTTCATTCATGTGTTACAGATTTCTGGCATCAGGAGAATTAATAACTTAAATGAATAAGATATTTGAGAACTAAAAGAAGTATGTTGTTTATCATCAAAATTATGTTCTTTTCATCTTTCATATTTTGTCAGTCATATCGGTATTTCCCTTCTAACATCGAGGTCATTGAGTGGCTTGGAGCCTATTACATTGACACCCAGTTTTGTGAAAAAGCCATTAAATACTTTGAAAGAGCCGCTCTTATTCAGTAAGTTATGATTGTTATTTTATGTCTTGTGTTGAGATATTTGCCCCCTTAAATAATATGTAGGAGACATTATAAATTATGTGTCAGGTATTAGAACATTTATGGCTTTGGATAATATTTCCATTTTTCCTCTGTGTCTCATTTTACTTAGTTACCATTATGGTGGGGAAAAATGTAAAATATTTATTAATTAAAAACATATCTCATGATAGAACTTTCTAAAAGGATTATTAAACCAAAAGCTTTTCAGGATTTGTCCTCCAGCTGTTTCCTTATTCACATCAATTAATCAACAAATATGTAGCCAAGTGTTGTTCTTTACCTTTCCTTGTATCCTCAGTGCTTAGCACAGTGCCTGACACATGGTAAATGTTTAATAAATGCTTGCTGACTGACTGTGTAAGGTTCCAGCACTTCTAGGACTAAGTGTCATTTCAGAAAAATATATCAAATAATAACTAAAGAAATTGTTTATTTTAATGATTCACACTGTAGCAATCCCAGCTGGGATAGTTGTATTCTTTGTGGAACCTTGAGAAGGTCACTTAATCCGTCTGAGGCCCAGTTCTCTCATTTGTGAAAGGAGAGGTGAACTAGGTGTTCTTCTGAGTTCCCTTCCACCCCATATCTCAGCTTTCCTGATCCTTTTGGTGCTTCAGTAACTGTAACCCTCTGAGACAGAATCACATCATGACACACACATCCCTATGCAATGATATATAATAACAAGGTTTCAACTCATTCCAACTCCCACTGTCATTAAGGTATATATAAATAGGAAAGATAAAAAAACACATTAAGATTTCCATCTTTCTTTCTTCATTTTTTTTTGTTTCTTTTTTTATTGTTTCAAGGAGCACTTACAAAGTAGCACACATTTCTCTAGCCTCCATCTTCTCTAGGACAGAAGTTGATGTGTACTTTGTGCACATATAGGTGTTCATCTGGGCAGAAATACTAACATTACCCACTCTCTATAAGATACTTCAGAATATTCCCTGTCTTCACATTTCTTTAAAGGTAGATTCTCAGGCCTTTGCCTGCTTGGGTAACATATGTGTCTAACTGCTATAGTGCACTTTATGTTAGCCATGCTTTTTATGTTGTAGATGACCTCTTAAATGATACTTAATTGATTTATTGGCCAGGTTTCATTTTTTTCCTAAGACAAGATAAAACCATCAGCTCAATTGCCTTTAATTGACAGCATATTCTTGTCATGTCCATGTAAATCAGTCAACAAGCAGAAATTATGTTTATGTAAATAGATCTACCTATCTTGTACCTCCTAACTGCTGACCGTGTATATCTACCTGGCTTCTTGGATCTCATTAGGTCATAGATGTTTGTTCTATTCTCACAAGGCTACTTTACTAACTTTAGGGAATTAACGTGTTTCATCCTGTAGATGCAAAACCACACCCAAACTTACAAACTGCTCTGATGTCTATTTTTTGCAAGTTAAACTGACTTGCCTAGGGTTACACAGCGCTCTATCCACTATACCACCCAAGATCTTTGTTCTTTAGTTTCTTCACCTCCCATGACCTATTCCTTCATCCCACCTCAATAACAAACAGGGGCTATCACACTCTTGTTCTCATCATCACTCCCAAGTGTTCCACGTGATCAAGAATTCTGAAATTCCTTTATCCAGCCATAATCTCCTGTCATTCTGTATCTTCTTATGCCTCAAACTAAATTTCTTTTTCATCCCTCTGCCTTTCAGTTGTCTCTTAGGCCATCACCCCTTCCCTCGCTTCACTTTCCTCCCTGCCCAATCCTCATCCAATTGTTAAGCAATTCAACAACACCCTGTCCTGTACTCTTAAATCTCTTGCCCTTTTTTCTTCTCACCACTAATGCCTTGACCAATCCCCATACCTGGATCACAACCAACACCTGCTTGCTCCACGAATACTCATGCTGCTGAACTGTTTTGGGAGAAGTCATATGACCATGCTGACTGGGTCTTCTTCAGACTTTTAAACCTAATTTCAACTGAGTCCTCACTGCAAGGAAGGCAATCCTTTTACTATAATTAATTCTCTGTTACATTCCCCATATTGGCAATTGTAGGATGTCTTTTCTCTCTTCAAACCTTCCATACCACCCCTAACCAGAGCCTCCCAGCAAAAGGTCTTTCTTCATCCTTTACTGAGAAGATGGAGGCCAGTAACCTTGAGCTGCCTAGTCTACATCTTAAAACCCCTTGACATGATCTCCTGTTCTTCTTTTACTTCATTCTCTGATGAAGATATGACTCTTCTCCTCAACAAGGAAAAACCTTCTACTTGTATTCTTGATCCTGTCTCAGCTGGCGGGTTGCCTCCACAATCATCTCCTCTCTCTCTTTAATCTTCATTTCCCCATCAACCAGCTACACATAGGCTTAGTTTTCCTGTATCCTTTAAAAAAACAACCTCACTTAACTCAAACAGCATCTCAAATTATTGCCCTTTATTTCTTCTCCCTTTCTCAGCCAAAACTACTAGAAAATTTGGTCATTCCTTTTTTCTCACTCCTCACTTCCATACAGGGACTGTTTCATGTTTAGTTTTGAATGTCTAACATTTAGCACAGTGCCCAGCACATAGCAAATATTTGATAAATGCTTGTTAATTGAATGATCAACTTTAAATGCCAGGCTGAGGATTTTCTGTTTTATACTAGAGGCAATCTGGAGGTTTGGAAAATACCATGTAATAAATGGTTCATGGATAGACTTATCCATGGATTTCACAGATTATTTTTAATTTGTTTTAGTACCAATCAAATGATGTTTTATTCTCTTAACAGGCCTACTCAAGTGAAATGGCAGCTAATGGTAGCTAGTTGCTATAGAAGAAGTGGTAAGTAGTCAAAAAAAACTCTACCCTTGTTCATTTTAAAAATCAGAATACACTTTTAAAAATGTATTTGATCTAATTTACACTTATTTTTGTGTAAGTTATACATAAGTAGGGGAATATAAATACATAATAGCTCACATAAATAAAAACATAGTTCACAAATTCCTATTAAACACAATTTTGAAGTACTACAGATCAATGCAGATCAGTCAACATAATCATATGTTGTAAATGACCCATTCATTTCAATTCAGTTAAATTCAACAAGAATTTATTAAGGACCTGTTGTGTGCCAAGCACTGTGCTAAATACTAGAGATATAAAAGCAAAAATGAAACTGTCCCTGTACTCAAGGAGCTTACATTCTACTTGGAAGGTAAACAACATTTACACAGATAGATAATTAAAATATTTGTGCAATGTAATTATAAAGTGATTTCTGGGCTTGGAAGGAAAAAATCTCTAGGTGAATAGATAGGATATAAAGGTTCTATGTAGGAGGTGTCACTTAAACTGACCCTTGAAAAGAGTTAGGGATCCTAAGAGTTGTGGAGGGGAAGAGTAAAGCAGTCCAGGTGTAGATGCAGATAAAGCCCTCTTCTCCCTCACTCTTTTAGAAATATGTAGAAAGTCTTTTAAAATTATCCTAATCTAATCTGATACCTTGGGACTAATCTGAAAGAGAAATCTTATCAGTCTTTAACTATCACTTCCAAAACAAGTTCTTATTTCCCTCTCCTTTAGGGGAGGATTACTAGGAAGTAATCCTCACTTTTGAAGTGCAGTAATTAGGGTGGTAACCTGACCAGAATCAGGGTGATTGATTTACCTTGCCAGGTTAGGATAATGATCAGACTAAAAGATTCAGAGAAGCATCTGAAAAGCTTAGCACAGTGCTCAGCACTTTGTAGGCACTTAATAAATGTTTATTGATTGATTCATTGGAAACGGGCTTCCTTGAAAGAGGTCAAAGAGGGATTAAATGGATTTTAAGAAAATGATTCTCCAAAGGTATGCTGAGAGTTAAGTGACTGTTGTTGAATTTGATGAAGCAGATTGGTACCTGAACTCTTAAATAAGCTTTGGAACCTTGCTTAGTCTTGACTGTGAAATATTCCTTGTTCAAGGATCTATAAACTAGAACTTCAAAATCACTTGTGTTGCAGAGATGTCTGACAGCACAAAGAGACAATTTGGACATTTTTCACTAAGCTGAAAAATGCTTAGATTAGAATAATCGTTCATTAATAAAAATTGGTTCTGGCATTCTTTTTTCATATTTTTAATTAATTTATTTATTTTTAGTTTTCACATTCACTTCCTTAAGATTTTGAGTTTCAAATTTTCTCCCTTGCCCTCGCTCTCTCCCCCCTCCCCAAGATGGCATGTAATCTGATATAGGCTCTACGTATACATTCATATTAAACATATTTTCATATTAGTCATGTTATAAAGACGAATTAGAACCAATGGGAGGAACCATGAGAAAGAAGAAACAGAACAAAACAACAACAAAAAAAAGAGCAAATAGTATGTTTCCCTCTGCATTCAGACTGTGTAGTTCTTTCTCTGGATGTGGATAGCATTTTCCATCATGAGTCTTTTGGAGTTGTCTTAGATCCTTGCATTGCTGAGAAGAGCTAAGTCCATCAAAGTCAGTTATCCCATGGTGTGACTGTTACTGTGTACAATATTCTCCTGGTTCTACTAACTTCACTCAGCATCAGTTCATGTAAGTCCTTCCACTTTTTTTCTGAAGTCCTCCTGCTCATCATTTCTTATAGCACAATAGTATTGCATTACATTGATATACCACAACTTGTTCAGCCATTCCTCAATTCAATTCTTTACCACCACAAAAAGAGCTGCTATAATATTTTTGTACATGTGAGTCCTTTTCCCATTTTTATGATCCCTTTGGGAAACAGACCTAGAAGTGGTATTGCTGAGTCAAAGGGTATGCACAGTTTTATAACCCTTTGGGCATAATTCCAAATTGCTCTCCAGAATGGCTGGATAAGCTCAAAACTCCACCAACAATGCATTAGTGTGCCAGTTTTCCCTCATCTTCTCCAACATTTATCATTTTCCTGTTTTGTCATGTTAGCCAATCTGATAGGTGTGATGTGGTACCTCAGAGTTGTTTTAATTTGCATTTCTTTAATCAATAGTTATTTAGAGCATTTTTTTCTTATAGCTTTAATTTCTTCATCTGAAGAAATATCCTTTGACCATTTATCAATTGGGGAATGACTTGTATTCTTACAAATTTGACTCAGTTCTCTATATATTTTAGAAATGAGGCCTTTATCAGAGACACTGACTGTCTCTGTTTCCCAGCTTTCTGCTTCCCTTCTAATCTTAGCTGCGTTGGCTTTGTGCAAAAACTTTTCTATTTAATGTAATCAAAATCATCCATTTTGCTTTTCATAATGTTCTCTATCTCTTGTTTGGTCATAAGTGCTTCCCTTCTCCATAAATCTGACAAGTAAACTATAACTTGCTCTCCTAGTTTGCTTATAGTATTAGCTTTTATATCTGAATCATGTATCCATATTGACTTTATCTTGGTATATGGTGTAAGATGATGGTCTATGCCTAGTCTATGCCATACTATTTTCCAGTTTTCCCAGCAGTTTTTGTTAAATAGTGAGTTCTTATCCCAGAAGCTGGAGTCTTTGGGTTTATCAAATAGTTGATTGCTATCGTCATTGACTGTTTTGTCTTGTGTACCTAACCTATTCCACTGATCCACCAGTCTATTTCTTAGTCCATACCAAGTAGTTTTGATGTTTACTGCTTTATGATACAATTTAAGATCTGGTACAGCTAGGCCACCTTCCCTTGCATTTCTTTTCATTGATTCCTTTGATATTCTGGACCTTTTGTTCTTCCAGATGAATTTTGTTATTATTTTTCCTAGCTCTCAAAATAATTTTTATTAGTTTGATTGGCATGGCACTGAATAAGTAAATTAATTTAGGTAGAATTGTCTAGTATTCTTATACCTACAGCACAGTATGCCACTGAATTTTTTTTTCAACACTGGCCAGTGCAAATATAATTTGATAAATGCTAATTAACTGATAAATGCATAGCCATGAGACATGGAATAATGTGCTTGTGTAGTCATCCAACAAACACCTATTAAGCACCTACTATGTGCCAGGCACTGTGTTAAGTGCTAAGAATAAAAAGAAAATGGGGGGGGGGGGAGTGGTTCCTGCTGTCAAGAAGCTTGCAGTCTAATGGAAGAGACAATACCTAGAGAGCTGGGTACAGACAATCTACATACAGGGTAAACTGGAGTTAATCAACAGGAGGAAGGCACTAGCCCAAAGAGGTTTGGGAGAAAGTTTCTTGTAGAATGTAGGATTTTAGCTCAGTCTTTAAGGCAGCTAGTAAAGTCAGGAGGTGAAGATGAGAAGGAAGGGAGTTCCAGGTATGGGGACTGTGTGGAAAAACTGAATTACGGTGGAGAAAAATTTCGTGAATTAAAATGTCTAAGAAAAGCTGGAAATATATAAGTTCACAGTTACTTTTTGTTACTTTTTGATAGTGTTGGACATTTGCTCTGTGGTTTCGGGTTCCAGATTCCTTTCTGGTTGCATGACACTAGCCTAGCCAAAAAGAAAAGAGAGCGAGAAAGAGAGAGAGAGGGAGAGAGTATGTGTACTTTTAAGAATCAAAAGCTACAAAAATACTAAAAACCTGTTGGTATGTAGGTTTTTCACGGTCAGCAATTCTTCACATAATGAACTTGGTGGGGTAAAAAAAAGCCAGCCTGGGTTCCTGCAGACAGTAAGAGTTAGAGCTAGAAGAATATGCTAATTTCCGCAAGCCCCAGAATGTGATAGAAACTGCTTACTAAGATTCGTGATTGACCTAATAATCCCTTGAGGAAGAAGAAAGTGGATGAAAAAATATTTGTGCCCATACTGTCACACAGTTGAAATATCAGTTAGTACATTAACACCTATATGTTGGAACAGTCTCTGAAGATGGACAAGGAGCAGGACCCAGAAGAGCGGCACGGGAAGGCTCTACACCAGAATATCAGACTCCTTCCTCAGAGTTGCCTGAACCAGATTAAAACCTAATTGGAAAATGTTTCAAAATACAAAAAATACAATCCAACATAGATAGTGTTAATTTGTGTCTTTCTAAGTCAATACACATCCTCAGGAATCCATTTCTAGTTAAGTTCAACACCACTGATGTAGAGTGAGAGGACAAGGTCTCAGACTGACTCTGATGCTTCCTACCCTAGTGACCTTAAGCATTTAACCTCCCTGGGCCTTAGTTTCCTTATCGATAAAAGGAGGGGGTTGGAGTAGAGGGCCTCCGAGGGCCCTTCCTACTTTAAATGTTGGATGCTGTGGTGTAGGATCCCATGGCTGGGAGGCCAGGAACAGGGTCTCTTGTGCTTGGGATACTACAGTTGCAGAGTATTTTCAGCAGTTCCTAGCTGCTTCCTAGTCAAGAAGTAGATATACTCACAGTGCTGCTGTATGGCTGCACATTTTAGAACATCACAGCCCCTGAGGAATTGAACATGCAGAAAAGCACAGTGGATTGCCCTTTAAATTACTCTAGAATTATTTTTACTCTGGACTTATTTATATGTACTCATATATGCACTTGTTTCCTCCTCCAATAGAATGTAAGCTCCTTGAGGGTAAGAAATAATTTCATTTTTGTCCTTGTATCACCAGCACCTAACACAGTACTTAACACATAACATGAGCTTAATAAATGTTTGTTTATTGATTAATTGAAGTAGGCCACAGCATGTTTCTAAAGACAATGTGTTCTCAAGAAGTAGTGTAAGATAGGTCATCTAGGAAATGTATGCTCTGAAAAGCAGATGGTCCAGTCACATAGGGCGGATAAACATCCCAAGCTCTGTTTTGGTATCCCCAAATGTATCACCTCAAAGAAGGCCTTCGACATCTTTAGTGGATACTTTGTGGAGGATTATCTGTGGGAGATCATGGAGAAGGATCTCCAGAATGAGAAGGCATGAATGGATCTTGATCTTCAGTGGTGCAAGGGGTCCTCACATTCATGAGGATACAGAACCACTGAAATATTAAAAGTATTACTGTAGTTAAAATTTTTTTTTCAAAATTTGCTTGTCCAAAAATTTTTTTACTCAAAATGAGCATTTTGCTTGTGATAAATATGAAACTTTCATATCAGACTGTTAGAAGTTACAGTATCTTGCATAGGAATTAAGATCATTCAAGACTGGTTCATGTCTGAAACTAAATACTTCTGTGTTTATTTACAGGTAACTACCAAAAAGCTTTAGATACTTATAAGGAGATTCACAGAAAATTTCCAGAAAATGTTGAATGTAAGTGGTACTATATATTGTAGCTTTCAAAATATAGGCTTCCATATTTTCACTTCTATTGCATATATACTGCATTTGCTAAACTATATACTAAATTACATATATATATATACACACACATATATACATACGTACATACAAATCAAACATAGCAATTACATGTGTGAATACCTTTTGGCTTATACCCAGACTTTAATTTGGAGTAGAAATATATTTTATGGGAGCTTTTAGGGTTGAGAAAAATTGGCTACATAAATACACATTATTATGTAACTGAATAATATGTAGATTAAAATTTACTACTTAAGTTTCATATACAGTAAACAAATATGATTTGTTTTATGGCACATTGGGTTAAATTTCAAGGTTTTGTCTAAATTTCTAGTCCTAAGTACAACCTTTATTTTGTTTTTGCTCAACTTAATTTATAAGAATTATAACATTGTCTAGAATTTTCTGGAAGTTTAGTGTGATTGTTGAAACTGAATATATTATTAATTATTAAAACAATATATTTTTTATTTTTTTAAAAAACCATGTGCTACTACATCCATCACATATCTTTAACTTCATAATGAAGCCTTTAAAAGTTTTGAAAATTATTTGTATTTAGAATTTTGTTGGTTTTCACATCACATGAGATTTTAATAGCTACTTTAATTAAAATAGTACTTAAACTATGTATGTTTGTAGAGATTTTAAGTTTTGTTTTTGCTTTTGAAAAGTTGCATTGAGATGTATTGACCTAGATGATGAAAATAACCTGCTTAAATCTGATGAAAATATACATTTGAATCATAATTCTATACCATTATCTGGGGATTGTGTGATATTTTATATTGCTTCTAATCTAACATAGTGCTATAATTAAAATGTTAGTATTCAGTGAATCTTCACAAATGTAATACTACAGAGGTATAACTAGAAAGTTATGATTTTTTTAGATATAGTTCTTACAAAGTTCAGTCTTTTTTTCAGGTTTAGAATTTTCTTGATTCTTTAATAATCACATTTTTAATTAGGAAATTTTGGAAAATACAATGGCAAAAGTGTTTTTGATACTGAGAATCTTATACTATACTGAAATGTTATAGGCACAGGGAAGATCTTTTTTGCAATTTCAGAAGTGAAATAATCAAAATTTGTCATTTTTCTTATTTACTTCAATGCTTAGAAAAACTGTTTGAAATGTACTGTCCACAATAGGCAATGATTTCTAGTCCACTTTCAAGGACATACATTTTTGCTATTTTTTCTAGTAGTGATGGCGGGTTGCGCTGACCTATACATATTCACTTACTTGGTATCCCTTAGAATAAATACCTTATATATCTCTTTTCATATGTTGCAATTACATTGTAAAAGGAAGAATGTACTATTTATTAGAAATATTACTGATTAAATACTTTGTGTTTTCAAATGTTCTAAATAAAATGCTTTACTGAATATATTTTTAATACCCTTTAGGTCTACGCTTCTTAGTTCGTCTCTGCACAGATATTGGACTAAAAGAAGTTCAAGAATATGCAACAAAACTCAAGAGGTTGGAAAAAATGAAGGAAATAAGGGAACAGGTATCTCAAGTGGGACAAAACCTGATGTCTGTTAATTTTCAGAATGTCAGTCTCTTATAGTTTAGGTGAGGGGATTTTGGAAGCATCTAGATAGACGCATGTCAAAAACAAAGCTAAAATAATTTTTTTGCCTTGGCAAAATAGGCAAGAGTAACCAAAAATTATGCCATAAATGTGATTCCTTCAAGAGTAAGTTAAATGAGTGAGCTTATGTTTTAAACAAAGAAATAATTTTCTTCATGAAATAACTTGCAGGCTCTACTCAAAAAATCAGACATTGAACCTATATAGAAAGTAAAATCTTAATTGGACAGACTTATGGCCCATGGGAAGTAAGGGACAATTACTGACTTGTGTATATATATTACTAATACTTTTTTCCCTCTAACTTATTATATAGCATAGCATAGATCTGTAAATGTTATTAATATGCATGAAGCACTTTTAAAGATACACACACATATGTATTACAAAAGAATGTATGTGTGTACGTGTGTATATATTGTGTGTGTATATATGTAGATATAGATATATAAACTTAAATAGTACCAAAATTCTTAATTTTTACTTCATCTAAATATTACTGGGCTCTCTTAAGATTAACAAACCTAGAGACCTGAGCATTCTTGTAAGTTATTTTATCTGGTTGTTGTATAGATCTTTCTTGAAAAGAATGAAAATGCTTAATGCATGTATATTTCTATATGAAGTGAAAATGTGATTTTAGATATTTAATTTTTCATATAATTTATTGAAAATTGTATCATTCTGTATTTTTAGGGATTAGATAATTATAATAGTCTTGAAGATTAATTTTAATAATATGGAATTGCAAGATTTATTATTTTTGGTTGGAGAGTAGGGAGTACTCTAAATTTTATATTTCCTTAAGACGGTTTGATTATATTGTCTTGTTTTTAAATATGCCTGATTATTCTATTCTTTTTGAGTACACTAATTTCCAAAGGGTTATGAGCACTTTACCCAAATCCTATAAACATCAAATATCAAATGAGATTGTCGTAGGTAGCTGCTGGAAAAGACTAACCAGGCACTAAAAGCTGCCATTCTGATTTTGTCTGTTGAGAAAAGATGTGAATTCCAAACTTGTGAAAACTCCAAGGAAGTTCTTGAACATTTTTATCTGGTTACTATTATATTTCCTAGCTGCTTCATGACCATGAATAAGAAGAGGCTCAAATGCATAAAACTTTGTGAGCCAGAATCATAAGTGCAAAAGTGAGAAATAAGTACAAAATCCAGTAGAAATATTAGAACATATATGATCTGTTTCTCATATAGTGTGTATATTTCTTTTAGTTTGTAACCTTAGATACACTGATAAATTATATGTTTGCTATTCTCCTCATGACCTGAGGTATAGTCTTATTTTGGAATATGAAACTGCATATTCCATAATTTTCTTGGAACTTACATGCAGGACCTATATGATTCCTAATCTGGTCTAGACATTAAGCATTATCTTAATATAATCTAGCCAGACTGAAGGAAGGAAAGGAGGAAACAGTTATTAAGTGTTTACTATATGCCAGGTACTGTACTAAGCACCGGGGATATAAAAACAAGCAAAAAGAAAAACAGTCCCTACTCTCAACGTGGTTATATTCAAATAGGGGAAGACATCACACAAAAGAAGGTAGGAGAATGAAGGTCCCCAATATGGGGTCATGGTTTTGAAGTTAGGAAGTCAGGAGGAGAGTCAGGAGAAAAATAAAGACTGGCTTGGACCCCTCTACAAAATGGAGGTCCCAGTGGGAGCTCACTAGTGGGAGAAGGGAATGGGCCTTGAAGATCAATATTCCAGTTAAGAAAGCCTCTGAGGTAGTTGAATGTTCTAGAAGGAGGAGGCCTCAGGCACTGAGAAAAGTTCCAAGAAGAGACAGCAGGAAAGGCATAGTTTTGAGGTCAAATTTAGGTTCTCTGTATCTACTCTCATATTCTGATTAAAGGCCTTCTTTGTGAATAAAAACTGAAAAAAATCTATAAACTATTCTTTAAATTTACTATGAAAAACAAATTAACTTGCCCTAAAAGTTGGATTTTATGTCATGTTTTGTTTTATTTTTTTTTGCTTCAGGAATCTATTAAATGCCACATGTGAAATGTGCAAGATTGTGGTGTACATTTCCCTTCCTCAAAGAAAGATAATATCATGCTATGGGTAGTTTATAGTATTATGTGTGTTTTAGTACCTTTTTTTTTGGTTTGGACTTGTGATTTCATAGGTGAAGGGTATTTAAAATATGGCAACCCCCTCCACCAGTGAAGACTGGCAACTTTTTTGTTAAGTGACAATTTTAGAGAGTTGCGTGGAGTATTGAGAGCTTCAAGTGACTTTCCCATAGTCATACAGCCATCGTGTTCTAAAACTGATGATTCATGTATGTGTCCTAAATTTGAAGTTACCATTCCAAAGGCTGGAAATCATCCCCCCACATTTAGCAAAGGCTGTATATATTGATAACTATCTGGTGAATGTTACCACTATGCCACTGAAAGGAGAAAGCAAAACCAGATGCACAACTCAGGTATATTCCACTGGGGTTTATTTAAGGTTATGTTATGACCAGCCAGATCTCAAATGGATAGTTAGGATGGGGAATATGACTGCTGCCAGTGTCCTCATATTTGCTTTCAAGTGAGAGTCACCCTCCTCTGGGCCTGTAGAATTTTTAGTCCTTCACTAGCCAACAACATGCCAGTAAAATCCCCATTATCCTTGTAAGGTGATATTTTTGGCAATACGACAATTTGAGACTGAAATGCTGTTGTTTATAGCTATATTTTTAAAAACCCATTTCCGATACCACTTTCTTTTTTAAATACGTTTTTGAGGTCTTTGTTTTTATATCTCTTACATTTCCCAATTTATCCCTCCTCTTTCACCCCTGCCCTCTCCCTTATGAAAAAAGAGTAAAAAGGAGGAAGGAATTCAGGAAAACTAAAATATCAACAAAGTTCAAGGTTATATTCAGTGCTGCACATCCACTAAGCCACCCTCACCCCAACCCCATAGCTATGCAAAGAAGCTTGGGGGGAGGTAACTTTTCTTATCTCATCTTTAGGGCCAAACTTGGTCTTTGTAATT